GTAAATCGAACATAGAATGATAGCTGTAGAAACGCCGGAGACGGCGCACAATGCAACACAGAATAAGAGCTGTGGCAAACTCTGGGCGACGGTAAATCGAACATAGAATGATAGCTGTAAAAAACGCAACACGGCGCACAATGCAACACAGAATAGAGCTGGCAAAACTCTGGAGCGACAGTAAATCGAACAGCAGAATGATAGCTGTAGAAACGCCGGGACGGCGCACAATGCAACACAATACCAAGCTGTAGAAACTCTGGAGGCGACAGTAAATCGAACATAGAATGATAGCTGTAAAAACGCCGGAGACGGCGCACAATGCAACACAAAATAAGGAAGTATGTGGAAACTCTGGAGGCGACAGTAAATCGAACATAGAATGATAGCTGTAGAAACGCCGGAGACGGCCCACAATGCAACACAGAATAAGAGCTGTAGAAACTCTGGAGGCGACAGTAAATCGAACATAGAATGATAACTGTAAAAACGCCGGAGACGGCGCACAATGCAACACTGTAATAAGGAGCTGATAAATCGAACATAGAATGATAGCTCTGGAGGGCGACAATGTAAATCTGTAACATAAATCGAACATGAATGATAGCTGTAAAAAACGACGGAGACGGCGCACAATGCAACACAGAATAAGAGCTGTACAAACTCTGGAGGGCGACAGTAAATCGAACATAGAATGATAGCTGTAGAAACGCCGGAGACGGACACAATACACCACAGAATAAGAGCTGTAGAAACTCTGGAGGCGACAGTAAATCGAACATAGAATGATGGCTGTAGAAACGCCGGAACCAGCACAGTAACACAGAATAAAGGCTGTAGAAACTCACCAGGCGACAGTAAATCGAACATAGAATGATAGCTGTAAAACGCCGGAGACGGCGCACAATGCAACACAGAATAAGAGCTGTAGAAACTCTGGAGGCGACAGTAAATCGAACATAGAATGATGGCTGTAGGAAAACGCCGGAGACGGCCTGATACAACACATGCAACTCTGGGCGACAGTAAATCGAACATGGGGCCTTAGAATAAAGCAACACAGCTGTAGAAACTCTGGAGGCGACAGTAAATCGAACATAGAATGATAGCTGTAGAAACGCCGGGAGACGGCGCACAATGCAACAGAATAAGAGCTGTAGAAACTCTGGAGCGACAGTAAATCGAACATAGAATGATAGCTGCGCAAATGCAGCCGGAGACGTAGCTCTGGAACAGAAACAAATCAACATAGAATATAGCTGTAGCTGCGGAGACGCAATGCAACTCTGGAAACTCTGGGCGACAGTAAATCGAACATAGAAGGATAGCTGTAAAGAAACGCCGGAGACGGCGATACAATGCAGAATAAGGCTGTGAAAACTCTGGAGGCGACAGTAAATCGAACATAGAATGATAGCTGTGCAGAAACGCCGGAGACGGCACACAATACAACACAGAATAAGAGCTGTAGAAACTCTGGAGGCGACAGTAAATCGAACATAGAATGATGACTGTACAAAACGCCGGAGACACTGATACAACACAAAGAAAAGGCGCAAGAAACTCTGGAGACAGCTGTAGAAACACGGCGCAGTAAAACAGAATAAGAGCTGTAGAAACTCTGGGGGACGAAATCGAACATGAAGGATGGCTGTAAAACGCCGGAACATAGAATAAGATGGGAGGCATTGATAAATCGTAGAAAGAAACGCCGGAGACGGCGCACAATGCAACACAGAATAAGAGCTGTAGAAACTCTGGAGGCGACAGTAAATCGAACATAGAATGATAGCTGTAAAAACGCCGGAGACGGCGCACAATGCAACACAGAATAAGAGCTGTAGAAACTCTGGAGGCGGTAAAATCGAACATAGAATGATAGCTGTAGAAACGCCGGAGACGGCGAAATAATGCAACACAGAATAAGAGCTGTAGAAACTCTGGAGGCGACAGTAAATCGAACATAGAATGATAGCTGTAGAAACGCCGGAGACGGCGCACAATGCAACACAGAATAAGAGCTGTAGAAACTCTGGAGGCGACAGTAAATCGAACAGAAAATCGAAAAACGCCGGATACGAATGATAGAATGTAGAAACGGAGGGACAGACGGCATAGCACAATGTAGAAACAACACAGAATAAGAGCTGTAGAAACTCTGGAGGCGACAGTAAATCGAACATAGAATGATAGCTGTAGAAACGCCGGAGACGGCGCACAATGCAACACAGAATAAGAGCTGTAGAAACTCTGGGCGACAGTAAATCGAACATAGAATGATGGCTGTAAAACGCCGGAGACGGAACAATGCAACACAGAATAAGAGCTGTAGAAACTCTGGAGGCGACAGTAAATCGAACATAGAATGATAGCTGTAGAAACGCCGGAGACGGCGCACAATGCAACACAGAATAAGAGCTGTAGAAACTCTGGAGGCGACAGTAAATCGAACATAGAATGATAGCTGTGAAAACGCCGGAGACGGCGCACAATAAATCAACACAGAATAAGAGCTGTAGAAACTCTGGAGGCGACAGTAAATCGAACATAGAATGATAGGCTGTAGAAACGCCGGAGACGGCGAACACAATGCAAAACACAGAATAAGAACTGAATGATAAGAAACTCTGGAGGCGACAGTAAATCGAACATAGAATGATAGCTGTAGAAACGCCGGAGACGGCGCACAATGCAACACAGAATAAGAGCTGTAGAAAAATCTCTGGAGAAACGCGACACGGCGCAAATCGAACATAAGAATGATAGCTGTAAATCGAAATAGAAGGATACAGAAACGCCGGAGACGGCGCACAATGCAACACAGAATAAGAGCTGTAGAAACTCTGGAGGCGACAGTAAATCGAACATAGAATGATAGCTGTAGAAACGCCGGAGACGGCGCACAATGCAACACAGAATAAGAGCTGTAGAAACTCTGGAGGCGACAGTAAATCGAACATAGAATGAAGGCTGTAGAAACGCCGGAGACGGCGCACAATGCAACACAGAATAAGAGCTGTAGAAACTCTGGGCGACAGTAAATCGAACATAGAATGATAGCTGTAGAAACGCCGGAGACGGCGCACAATGCAACACAGAATAAGAGCTGTAGAAACTCTGGAGGCGACAGTAAATCGAACATAGAATGATAGCTGTAGAAACGCCGGAGACGGCGAAATGCAACACAGAATAAGAGCTGTAGAAAACTCTGGAGGCGACAGTAAATCGAACATAGAATGATAGCTGAGGCATAGAAACGCCATAGGATGGCGGCGAACGGCGCAATGCAACACAGAATAAGAGCTGTGAAACTCTGGAGGCGACAGTAAATCGAACATAGAATGATGGCTGTGGGAAAACGCCGGAGACGCACAATGCAACTTACAGAATAAGGCTGGCCAAACGCCGGGACGCAGAATGTGATGCGACAGTAAATCGAACATGGAATGATAGCTGTAGAAACGCCGGAGACGGCAGTAATGCAACACAGAATAAGAGCAAAACTCTGTAGACATAAATCGAACATAGAATGATAGCTGTGAAACGACGGGACGGCGCACAATGCAACACAGAATAAGAGCTGTAGAAACTCTGGGCTGTAAAAACATAGAATGATAGCCGCGAGACGGCGCACAATACAACACAGAATTAAGGCTGTAAAAGCTGGAGGCGACAGTAAATCGAACATAGAATGATAGCTGTAGAAACGCCGGAGACGGCGCACAATGCAACACAGAATAAGGCTGTAGAAACTCTGGAGGCGACGGTAAATCGAACATAGAATGATAGCTGTAGAAACGCCGGAGACGGCGCACAATGCAACACAGAATAAGAGCTGTGCAAAACTCTGGAGGCGACAGTAAATCGAACATAGAATGATAGCTGTAAAAACGCCGGAGACGGCGCACAATACAACACAGAATAAAGAGCTGTAGAAACTCTGGAGGCGACAGTAAATCGAACATAGAATGATAGCTGTAGAAACGACCGGAGACGGCGCACAATGCAACACAGAATAAGAGCTGTAGCAAAACTCTGGAGGCGACGGTAAATCGAACGTAGAATGATAGCGCTGTAAAAACGCCGGAGACGCGCCTGAATGCAACACAGAATAAAGCTGTAGAAACTCTGGAGGCGACAGTAAATCGAACATAGAATGATGGCTGTAGAAGAAACGGAACGCCGGAGACAACACAGAATAAGAGCTGTAGAAACTCTGGAGGCGACAGTAAATCGAACATAGAATGATGGCTGTAGAAACGCCGGAGACGGCGCACAATGCAACACAGAATAAGAGCTGTAGAAACTCTGGAGGCGACAGTAAATCGAACATAGAATGATAGCTGTAGAAACGCCGGAGACGGCGCACAATACAACACAGAATAAGAGCTGTAGAAACTCTGGGCGACAGTAAATCGAACATAGAATGATAGCTGTAGAAACGCCGGAGACGGCGCACAATGCAACACAGAATAAGAGCTGTAGAAACTCTGGAGCGACAGTAAATCGAACATAGAATGATGGCTGTAAAAACGCCGGAGACGGCGCCACAATGCAACACAGAATAAGAGCTGTAGAAACTCTGGAGGCGACAGTAAATCGAACATAGAATGATAGCTGTAGAAACGCCGGAGACGGCGCACAATGCAACACAGAATAAGAGCTGTATAGCACAACAGAAACTCTGGAGGGCGACAATGCAAATCCGAACATAGAATGATAGCTGTAGAAACGCCGGAGACGGCGAACAATACAACACAGAATAAGAGCTGTAGAAACTCTGGAGGCGACAGTAAATCGAACATAGAAGGATAGCTGTGAAACGCCGGAGACGGCACACAATACAAACCTGGAATAAGAGCTGTAGAAAACTCTGGAGGCGACGGTAAATCGAACATAGAATGATAGCTGTAGAAAACGCCGGAGACGGCGCACAATACAACACAGAATAAGAGCTGTAGAAACTCTGGGGCGAAATCGAACATAGAATGATAGCTGTATTAAAAACGCGGAGACGGAACAATGCAACACAGAATGATAGCTGTAAATCGAAACGTAAAAACGCCGGAGACGGCGCACAATGATACGACACACAGAATAAAGCGCCGGAGACGGCGCACCAATGTAAGGCTGTGCAAACTCTGGAGGCGACAGTAAATCGAACATAGAATGATAGCTGTGGAAACGCCGGAGACGGCGCACAATGCAACCAGAATAAGCTGTAGAAACTCTGGAGGCGACGGTAAATCGAACATGGAATGATGACTGTAGAAACGCCGGAGAACGGCGCACAATACAACACAGAATAAGAGCTGTAGAAACTCTGGGCGACAGTAAATCGAACATAGAATGATAGCTGTAGAAACGCCGGAGACGGCGAACAATGCAACCTGAGAATAAGAGCTGTAGAAACTCTGGAGGCGACAGTAAATCGAACATAGAATGATAGCTGTAGAAACGCCGGAGACGGCGCAAAATGCAACACAGAATAAGAGCTGTAGAAACTCTGGACGGCGACAGTAAATCGAACATAGAATGATAGCTGTAGAAACGCCGGAGACGGCGCACAATGCAACACAGAATAAGAGCTGTAGAAACTCTGGAGCGACAGTGGAAATCGAACATAGAATGATAGCGGCACTGTATAAACACGCCTGGCAGACTCTGGCGACTGATAAATCGAATAGAATGATAGCTGTGAAAACGCCGGGAACAATAACACAGAATAGCAAGACAAGAGCTCTGGAGGCGACGATAAATCGAACATAGAATGATAGCTGTAGAAACGCCGGAGGCGGCGACAATGTAATAAGAGCTGTAGAAACTCTGGAGGGCGACAGTAAATCTGAACATAGAATGATAGCTGTAGAAACGACGGAGACGGCGCACAATGCAACACAGAATAAAGAGCTGTAGAAACTCTGGAGGCGACAGTAAAATCGAACATAGAATGATAGCTGTAGAAAACGCCGGAGACGGCGCACAATGCAACCAGAATAAGAGCTGTAGAAACTCTGGAGGCGACAGTAAATCGAACATGGAATGATAGCTGTAGAAACGCCGGAGACGGCGCACAATGCAACACAGAATAAGAGCTGTAGAAACTCTGGAGGCGACAGTAAATCGAACATAGAATGATAGCTGTAGAAACGCCGGAGACGGCGCACAATGCAACACAGAATAAGAGCTGTAGAAACTCTGGAGGCGACAGTAAATCGAACATAGAATGATAGCTGTAGAAACGACGGACGACGGCAACAACATGAATGATGGCAAGGTAAAACTCTGGACGACAGTAAATCGAAGAATGATGGCTGTAGAAACGCCGGAACGGCGACAGTACAACACAGAATAAGGCTGTAGAAACTCTGGAGGGCGACAGTAAATCGAACATAGAATGACTGAGAAACGGGAGACGGCGCACAATGCAACACAGAATAAGAGCTGTAGAAACTCTGGAGGCGACAGTAAATCGAACATAGAATGATAGCTGTAGAAACGCCGGAGACGGCGCACAATGCAACACAGAATAAGAGCTGTAGAAAACTCTGGAGGCGACATAGAAATCTGTACAAACGACGGAATGATACAACACAGCTAAGGCAGAAACTCTGGACGGAGACGGATAGCGCACAATGCAACACAGAATAAGAGCTGTAGAAACTCTGGAGGCGACAGTAAATCGAACATAGAATGATAGCTGTAGAAACGCCGGAGACGGCGCACAATGCAACACAGAATAAGAGCTGTAGAAACTCTGGAGGCGACAGTAAATCGAACATAGAATGATAGCTGTAGAAACGCGGAGACGGCGCACAATGCAACACAGAGATAAGAGCTGGCAAGAAACTCTGGAGGCGACAGTAAATCGAACATAGAATGATAGCTGTAGAAACGCCGGAGACGGCGCACAATGCAACACAGAATAAGAGCTGTAGAAACTCTGGAGGCGACAGTAAATCGAACATAGAATGATGGCGCCGAGAAAAACGCCGAGACGGCGCACAATGCAACTTTGAATAAGAGCTGTAGAAACTCTGGAGGACGACAAATCGAACATAGAATGATAGCTGTCGCCGGAGACGGCGCACAATAACACAGAATGATAGCTGGAGGCGACAGTAAATCAGACATAGAATGATAATACGCCGGAGGCGCACAATGCAACACAGAATAAGAGCTGTAGAAACTCTGGAGGCGACAGTAAATCGAACATAGAATGATAGCTGTAGAAACGCCGGAGACGGCGCGACAAAATCGAACATAGAATGATGGCAGAATAAGAATGCAACACAGTATGAAAAACTCTGGAGGCGACAGTAAATCGAACATAGAATGATAGCTGTAGAAAAACGCCGGAGACGGCGCACAATGCAACACAGAATAAGAGCTGTAGAAACTCTGGAGGCGACAGTAAATCGAACATAGAATGATAGCTGTAGAAACGCCGGAGACGGCGCACAATGCAAAACAGAATAAGAGCTGTGCAAACTCTGGAGGCGACAGTAAATCGAACATAGAATGATAGCTGTAGAAACGCCGGAGACGGCGCACAATGCAACACAGAATAAGAGCTGTAGAAACTCTGGAGGCGACAGTAAATCGAACATAGAATGATAGCTGTAAAACGCCGGAGACGGCGCACAATGCAACACAGAATAAGAGCTGTAGAAACTCTGGAGGCGACAGTAAATCGAACATAGAATGATAGCTGTGAGAAACGCCGGAGACGGCGCACAATACCACACAGAATAAGAGCTGTAGAAACTCTGGAGGCGACAGTAAATCGAACATAGAATGATAACAGAAAAACGCCGGAGACGGCGCACAATACAACACAGAATAAGAGCTGTAGAAACTCTGGAGGCGACAGTAAATCGAACATAGAATGATAGCTGTAGAAAACGCCGGAGACGGCGCACAATACAACACAGAATAAGAGCTGGAAACTCTGGACACAGTAAATCGAACATAGAATGATGTAAAAAACGCCGGAGACGGCGCACATACAACACAGAATAAGAATGTAAGATCTGTAGGCTCTGGAGGCGACAGTAAATCGAACATAGAATGATAGCTGTGCAGAAACGCCGGAGACGCACAATACAACACAGAATAAGAGCTGTAGAAACTCTGGAGGCGACAGTAAATCGAACATAGAATGATAGCTGTAGAAAACGCCGGAGACGGCGCACAATACAACCACAGAATAAGAGCTGTAGGAAACTCTGGAGGCGACAGTAAATCGAACATAGAATGATGGCTGTGTAAAACGCCGGAGACCGGCGCTACAATGCAACACAGAATAAGAGCTGTACAGAAACTCTGGAGGCGACAGTAAATCGAACATAGAATGATAGCTGTAAAAACGACGGAGACGGCGCACAATGCAACACAGAATAAGAGCTGGCAGAAACTCTGGAGGCGACAGTAAATCGAACATAGAATGATAGCTGTAAAAACGCCGAGACGGCGCACTGATACAACACAGAATAAGAGCTGTAGAAACTCTGGAGGCGACAGTAAATCGAACATAGAATGATAGCTGTAGAAAACGCCGGAGACGGCGCACAATGCAACACAGAATAAGAGCTGTAGAAACTCTGGAGGCGACAGTAAATCGAACATAGAATGATAGCTGTAAAACGACGGAGACGGCGCACAATGCAACACAGAATAAGAGCTGTAAAAACTCTGGGAGGCGACAGTAAATCGAACATAGAATGATAGCTGGCAGAAACGACGGAGACGGCGCACAATGCAACACAGAATAAGAGCTGTAGAAACTCTGAGGCGACAGTAAATCGAACATAGAATGATAGCTGTAGAAACGCCGGAGACGGCACAATGCAACACAGAATAAGAGCTGTAAAACTCTGGAGACGACAGTAAATGAACATAGAATGATAGCTGTAGAAACGCCGGAGACGGCGCACAATGCAACACAGAATAAGAGCTGGGGACAGAAACATAGAAACGATAGACGGCGCACAATGCAACACAGAATAAGAGCTGTAGAAACTCTGGGCGACAATGGAAATCGAACATAGAATGATGGCTGTAGAAACGACGGAGACGGCGCACAATGCAACACAGAATAAGAGCTGTGTAGAAACTCTGAGGCGACAGTGAAATCGAACATGGAGAATGATAGCTGTAGAAACGCCGGAGACGGCTCTGATGCAACACAGAATAAGAGCTGTAGAAACTCTGGAGGCGACAGTAAATCGAACATAGAATGATATGGCTGTAGGAAACGCCGGAGACGGCGCACAATGCAAACAGAATAAGAGCTGTAGAAAACTCTGGAGGCGACAGTAAATCGAACATAGAATGATATAGCTGTAAAGAAACGCCGGAGACGGCACACAATGCAACACAGGGAACAAGAGCTGTAGAAACTCTGGAGGCGACAGTAAATCGAACATAGAATGATAAGCTGTAAAGAAACGCCGGAGACGGCGCACAATGCAGCTTACAGAATAAGAGCTGTGAAACTCTGGAGGCGACAGTAAATCGAACATAGAATGATAGCTGTACAGAAACGCCGGAGACGGCGCACAATGCAAACACAGAATAAGAGCTGTAGAAACTCTGGAGGCGACAGTAAATCGAACACAGAATGATAGCTGTAGAAACGCCGGAGACGGCACTGATGCAACACAGAATAAGAGCTGTAGAAACTCTGGAGGCGACAGTAAATCGAACATAGAATGATAGCTGTGAAACGCCGGAGACGCGCACAATGCAACACAGAATAAGAGCTGTAGAAACTCTGGGGCGACAGTAAATCGAACATAGAATGATAGCTGTGGAAACGCCGGAGACGGCGCACAATGCAACACAGAATAGAGCTATGCAGAAACTCTGGAGGCGACAGTAAATCGAACATAGAATGATAGCTGTAGAAACGCCGGAGACGGCGCACAATGCAAATACAGAATAAGAGCTGTGGAAACTCTGGGCGACAGTAAATCGAACATAGAATGATAGCTGTAGAAACGACGGAACGGCGCACAATGCAACACAGAATAAGACTGTAGCGCGACAGTAAATCAACACAGAATAGCTGTAGAAACGCCGGAAACGGCACACAATGCAACACAGAATAAGAGCTGTAGAAACTCTGGGCGACAGTAAATCGAACAGAGAATGATAGCTGTAGAAACGCCGGAGACGGCGGCCAATGCAACACAAGAATAAGAGCCAGAAACTCTGGAGGCGACAGTAAATCGAACATGAATGATAGCTGTAGAAACGCCGGAGACGGCGCACAATGCAACACACAGAATAAGAGAATGATGTAGAAACTCTGGAGGCGACAGTAAATCGAACATAGAATGATAGCTGTAGAAACGCCGGAGACGGCGCACAATGCAACACAGAATAAGAGCTGTACGAAATCGAAAATCTGGAGCTGTAGAAACGACGGAGAAATCGAACATAGAATAAGAGCTGTAGAAACTCTGGAGGCGACAGCAAATGAACATAGAATGATGGCTGTAGAAACGCCGGAGACGGCGCACAATGCAACACAGAATATAGAGCATGGAGACGGCGCAAACTCTGGAGGCGACAGTAAATCGAACATAGAATGATAGCTGGAAAAAACGCCGGAGACGGCGCACAATGCAACACAGAATAAGAGCTGTAGAAACTCTGGAGGCGACGGTAAATCGAACATAGAATGATAGCTGTAGAAACGCCGGAGACGGCGCAATACAACACAGAATAAGAGCTGTAGAAACTCTGGAGGCGACAGTAAATCGAACATAGAATGATAGCTGTAGAAACGCCGAGACGGCGCACAATGCAACACAGAATAAGAGCTGTAGAAACTCTGGAGGCGACAGTAAATCGAACATAGAATGATAGCTGTAAAAACGCCGGAGACGGCGCAACAATGCAACACAGAATAAGAGCTGTGGAAACCTGGAGGCGACAGTAACCGAACATAGAATGATGGCGACGACGGAGACGGCCTCGCAACACAGAATAAAGAGCTGTAGAAACGGAGGCGACAGTAAATCGAACATGGGGGTAGAAACGCCGGACAATGCAACACAGAATAAGAGCTGTAGAAACTCTGGAGGCGACAGTAAATCGAACATAGAATGATAGCTGTAGAAAACGGCGCCGCAACCTGAGAATAAGAGCTGTACAAACTGCAACAACAATGCAGAATATAAGAGCTGTCTGGAGAAAACACAGAATAAGAGCTGTAAAACCGGGACAAAATCGAACATAGAATGATAGCTGTAGAAACGACGGGAGACGGCGAACATGGGGCAATGCAACACAGAAATAAGAGCTGGAAACTCTGAGGCGACAGTAAATCGAACATAGAATGATAGCTGTAGAAACGCCGGAGACGGCGCACAATGATACACAGAATAAGAGCTGTAGAAACTCTGGAGGCGACAGTAAATCGAACATAGAATATTGAAGGTAGAAACGCCGAGACGGCGCACAATGCAACACAGAATAAGAGCTGTAGAAACTCTGGAGGCGACAGTAACGGGAACATAGAATGATATGTAGAAACGCTGAGACGGCGCATTACCGCAACACAGAATAAGAGCTGTAGAAACTTGGAGGCGAGCAAAATCGAACATAGAATGATAAGCGGTGAAACGCCGAGACGGCGCACAATGCAACACAGAATAAGAGCTGTAGAACTTGGAGGCGACAGTAACCGAACATAGAATGATAGCTGTGAAACGCCAACACAGAATAAGAGCGAAACTCTGGAGGCGACAGTAACAATGCAAATACAGAAATAAGAGAATGTAGAAACCTGGAGGCGACAGTAAATCGAACATAGAATGATAGCTGTAGAAACGACGGAGACGGCGCACAATGCAACACAGAATAAGAGCTGCAGAAACTCTGGAGGCGACAGTAAATCGAACATAGAATAATAGGCCAGAAAACGACGGAGAAGGCGCACAATGCAACACACAGAATAAGAGCTGTAGAAACCTGGCGACAGTAAATCGAACATAGAATGATAGCTGTAGAAACGACGGAGACGGCGCACACGCAAATACAGAATAAGAGCTGTAGAAAACTGGAGGCGACAGTAAATCGAACATAGAATGATAGCTGTAGAAACGACGGAGACGGCGCACAATGCAAATACAGAATAAGAGCTGTAGAAACTTGGAGGCGACAGTAACGAACATAGAATAATAGCTGTAGAAAACGACGGAGACGGCGCACAATGCAAACACAGAATAAGAGCTGTAGAAACCTGGAGGCGACAGTAAATCGAACATAGAATGATAGCTGTAGAAACGGAGACGCGCGAGACGAATAAGAGCACAAACCTGCAACAACAGAATAAGAGCTGTAGAAACGCCGGAGACGCGACAATGCAAACAGAATAAGAGCTGAAAATAGAATAAATCGAACACAGAATAGTTGTAGAAACGCCGGAGACGGCGCACAATGCAAATACAGAATAAGAGCTGTAGAAACTTGGAGGCGACAGTAAATCGAACATAGAATACTAAAGAGTAAAACGCCGGAGACGGCGCAATGCAACACAGAATAAGAGCCAGAAACTTGGAGGCGACAGTAAATCGAACATAGAATAATAGTTGCAGAAACGCCGGAGACGGCGCACAATGCAACACAGAATAAGAGCTGTGAAAACCTGAGGCGACAGTAAATCGAACATAGAATGATATGAAGAAACGGAGACGGCGCACAATGCAACACACAGAATAAGAGCTGTAGAAACTTGAGGCGACAGTAAATTCCGTACATGAATGATATGTAGAAACGCCGAGACGGCGCACAATGCAACACAGAATAAGAGCTGTAGAAGGCGACAGTAAATGAATATAGAATGATAGTTGAAAACGATGGAGACGGCGCACAATGCAAATACAGAATAAGAGCTAGAAAACTTGGAGGCGACAGTAATCGAACATAGAATGATAGCTGTAGAAACGACGAGACGGCGCAAAATGCAACACAGAATAAGAGCTGTAGAACTCTGAGGCGACAGTAACCGAACATAGAATGATATAGAAACGTAGAAATGCAACACAGAATAAGAGACGGAGGCGACAGTAAATGAACATAGAATAATACAGAACGCCGGAGACGGCGCACAATGCAGAACAGAATAAGAGCTTGGAGGCGACAAAATCGAAATATAGAATAATACATGTAGAAAACGCCGGAGACGGCGCACAATGCAACACAGAATAAGAGCTGTAGAAACCTGGAGGCGACAGTAAATCGAACATAGAATGATAGCTGTAGAAACGCCGACGGCGCACAATGCAAACAGAATAAGAGCTGTAGAAACTTGGAGGACAGTAAATCGAACATAGAATGATAAGCTGTAAAACGCCGGAGACGGCGCACAATGCAACACAGAATAAGAGCTGTAGAAACCTCTGAGGCGACAGGCAATCGAATATAGAAATGATAGGGTAGAAACGACGGCGACAATGAAACGGCGAGCACAACCTGAGGCGACAGTAACAGAATAAATGAGCTGTAGAAACGACGGAGACGGCGACAATGCAACACATAAACGAACATAGGCGACAGTGATATAGAATGATAGCTGAAAACGACGGAGACGGCGCACAATGCAACACAGAATAAGAGCTGTAGAAATCCCGAGGCGACAGTAAATCGAATATAGAATGATAGCTGTAGAAACGACGAGACGGCGCAAATGCAAACACAGAATAAGAGCCAGAAAACTTGAGGCGACAGTAAATCGAACATAGAATGATAGCTGTAGAAACGACGGAGACGGCGCAATGCAACAACACAGAATAAGAGCTGTAGAAACCTGGAGGCGACAGTAAATCGAACATAGAATAATAGCTGTAGAAACGCCGGAGACGGCGCACAAATGCAAACACAGAATAAGAGTTGTAGAAACTTGGAGGCGACAGTAAATCGAACATAGAATAATAGCGTAGAAACGCCGGAGACGGCGCACAATGCAACACAGAATAAGAGTTGTAGAAACCGGAGGCGACAGTAAATGAACATAGAATAATAGTTGTAGAAACGCCGAGACGGCGCACAAATGCAACACAGAAATAAGAGCTGTAGAAACTTGGAGGCGACAGTAAATCGAACATAGAAGAATACGTAGAAATGCGGAGACGGCGCACAATGTAACACAGAATAAGAGCCAGAAACCTGAGGCGACAGTAAATGAAACATAGAATGATAGTTGTAGAAACGCCGGAGACGGCGCAACAATGCAACACAGAATAAGAGTTGTAGAAACTTGGAGGCGACAGTAAATCGAACATAGAATATAGTTGTAGAAACGCCGAGACGGCGCACAATGCAACACAGAATAAGAGCTGTAGAAACCTGGAGGCGACAGTAAATCAACATAAATGATAGTAGAAACGCCGGAGACGGCGCACAATGCAAATACAGAATAAGAGCTGTAGAAACTCTGGAGGCGACAGTAAATCGAACATAGAATGATACAGAAACGCCGGAGACGGCGCAATGCAAACACAGAATAAGAGCTGTGAAACTCTGGAGGCGACAGCAAATCGAACACAGAATGATAAGTTGTAGAAAACGCCGGAGACGGCGCACAATGCAACACAGAATAAGAGCTGTGGTGTTCTGAGGCGACAGTAAATCGAAATATAGAATGATATGGTAGAAACGCCGGAGACGGCGCACAATGCAACACAGAATAAGAGCTGTAGAAACTTGGAGGCGAACAGAATGATAGTTGTGAAACGAACATGCAGAATAAGAGCTGAAGGCGACAGTAAACGAACCGGAGACGGCGCACAATGCAACACAGAATAAGAGCTGTAGAAACTTGGAGGCGACAGTAAATCGAACATAGAATTATAGAAGGTAGAAACGCCGGAGACGGCACAATGCAACACAGAATAAGAGCAACCTGAGGCGATACAGAAATAACATAGAATGATAGCTGTAGAAACGCCGAAACAATGGAATAAGAGCCAGAAACCTGCGAGGCGACAGTAACCGAATATAGAATGATAGAAAACGACGGAGATGGCGCACAATGCAAACACAGAATAAGAGCTGTAGAAACCTGGAGGCGACAGTAACGAACATAGAATTGATAGGCCAGAAACGACGGAGACGGCGCACAATGCAACACAGAATAAGAGCTGTAGAAACCTGGAGGCGACAGTAAATCGAACATGAATGATAAGGTAGAACGCCGGAGACGCAATAATGCAACACAGAATAAGAGCTGTAGAAACCTGGAGGCGACAGTAAATCGAAATATAGAATGATACGCAGAAACGACCGGAGACGGCGCACAATGCAAATACAGAATAAGAGCTGTAGAAACCTGAGGCGACAGTAAATCAATATAGAATGATACGTAGAAACGCCGGAGACGGCGCACAATGCAACACAGAATAAGAGAGCTAGAAACTTGGAGGCGACAGTAACGAACATAGAATGATAGCTGTAGAAACGCTGAATAAGAGCGGAAACGAGGCGACAGTAAATCGAACATAGAATGAAGCAGAAACACAGACGGCGCACAATAAGACAGAATAAGAGAAAACTTGGAGGCGACAGTAAATCGAATATAGAATGATAGCTGTAGGAATGCTGAGGCGCACAATGCAACACAGAATAAGAGCTGTAGAAACTTTGGAGGCGACAGTAAATTGAAATACAATGATAGGTGCAGAAACGCCGGAGACGGCACAATGCAAATACAGAATAAGAGCTGTAGAAACTCTGGAGGCGACAGTAAATCGAACATAGAATGATAGCTGTAGAAACGCCGGAGACGGGTACACAATGCAACACAGAATAAGAGCCAGAAACCTGGAGGCGACAGTAAATCGAACATAGAATGATAGCTGTAGAAACGCCGAGACGGCGCACAATGCAACACATAGAATAAGAGCTGTAGAAACTTCTGGAGGCGACAGTAAATCGAACATAGATGATGAGCTGCAGAAACGACGAGACGGCGCACAATGCAAACACAGAATAAGAGCTGAAAACCTGGAGGCGACAGTAAATCGAAATAGAAATGATAAGTTGTAGAAACGCTGAGACGGCGCACAATGTAAATACACAGAAGAGCTGTAGAAACTCTGGAGGCGACAGTAAATGAATATAGAATGATAAAGGTAGAAAAATGCGGAGACGGCGCAATAATGCAAATACAGAATAAGAGTTGGTGAAACCTGGAGGCGACAGTAAATTTCGAAATATAGAATGATAAAGGTAGAAACGCCGGAGACGGCGCACAATGCAACACAGAATAAGAGCTGTAGAAACTTGGAGGCGACAGTAAATCGAACATAGAATGAGAGCGAAAACGCCGAGACGGCGCACAATGCAACACAGAATAAGAGCTGTAGAAACTCTGGAGGCGACAGTAAAATACAGAATGAACATAAACGAACGGCATAAGAGCTGTAGAAACCTGGAGGCGACAGTAAATCGAACATAACGAGACGGCGCACAATGCAACACAGAATAAGAGCTGTAGAAACCTGGAGGCGACAGTAAATCGAACATAGAATGATAGCGTAGAAACGCCGGAGACGGCGCACAATGCAACACAGAATAAGAGCTTGTAGAAACTCTGAGGCGACAGTAACCGAACATAGAATGATAGCTGTAGAAACGACTGGAGACGGCGCAATGCAAATACAGAATAAGAGCTGTAGAAACTCTGGAGGCGAGAAAATGAACATAGAAATAGCTGTAGAAACGACGAAATATGCAGAATAAGAGCTAGAAACTTGGAGGCGAAACGAACATAGAATGACGCCGGAAACGGCGCACAATGCAACACAGAATAAGAGCTGTAGAAACTCTGGAGGCGACAGTAAATCGAACATAGAATGATAGAAGTAGAAAATGCCGGAGACGGCACAATGCAACACAGAAGAGCTGTAGAAACTTGGAGGCTACAGTAAATCGAACATAGAATGAAGGTAGAAACGCCGGAGACGGCGCACAATGCAAATACAGAATAAGAGCTGCTAGAAACTTGAGGCGACAGTAAATCGAACATAGAATGATAGCGTAGAAACGCCGGAGACGGCGCACAATGCAACACACAGAATAAGAGCCAGAAACTCTGGAGGCGACAGTAAATCGAACATAGAATGATAGCCAGAAACGCCGGAGACGGCGCACAATGCAAATACAGAATAAGAACTCTGGAGGCGACAGTAAATCGAAATACAGAATGATAGCTGTAGAACGACGTGGAGGCGAACAGAATAAGAGCGAAAACCTAGAATCGAACATAGAATGATATGTAGAAACGCTGAGACGGCGCACAATGCAACACAGAATAAGAGCTGTAGAAACCTGAGGCGACAGTAAATCGAACATAGAATGATGCTGTAGAAACGCCGGAAAACGGCACAATGCAAATACAGAATAAGAGCTGTGGAAAATTCTGAGGCGACAGTAAAATCGAACATAGAATGATAGTTGTAGAAAACGCCGGAGACGGCGTAATAAGCATTTTTAGAAACAAGGCGACAGAAATAACATAGAATGATGTAGAAACGCCGGAGACGGCGCACAATGCAACACAGAATAAGAGCCAGAAACCTGAGAATGAACATAGAATGATAGAAACGCCGGAGACGGCGCACAATGCAAACACAGAATAAGAGCTGTAGAAACTTGGAGGCGACAGTAAATCGAACATAGAATGATAGCTAGAAACGACGGAGACGGCGCACAATGCAACACAGAATAAGAGCTGTAGAAACCTGGAGGCGACAGTAAATCGAACATAGAATGATAGCGGTGAAACGCCGGAGACGGCGCACAATAAGAGCAGAAACAGGCGACAGAATAAGAGCTGTAGAAACGCCGAAACGGCGACAATAAATCAGAATAAGAGCTGTAGAACTCTGGAGGCGACAGTAACCGAACATAGAATGATAGAAACGACGGAGACGGCGCACAATGCAACACAGAATAAGAGCGTAGAAACCTGAGGCGACAGTAAACGGGAATATAGAATGATAGTTGTAGAAACGCCGGAGACGGCGTATACGCAACACAGAATAAGAGCTGTAGAAACCTGGAGGCGACAGTAAATTTGAACATAGAATGATAGCTGTAGAAATGCCGGAAATGCAGCACAAAACACAGAATAAGAGCCAGTAAAACTTGAGGCGACAGTAAATCGAACATAGAATGATAAGTAGAAACGCCGGAAACGGCACACAACACAACAATAAGAGCCAGAAACCTGAGGCGACAGTAAATCGAAATATAGAATGATAAAGGTAGAAACGCCGGAAACGGCAAAAATGCAAACACAGAATAAGAGTTGTAGAACCTGGAGGCGACAGTAAACCGAACATAGAATGATAGTTGTGAAACGCCGGAGACGGCGCACAAAAACACAGAATAAGAGCTGTAGAAACCTGGAGGCGACAGTAACCGAAACATAGAATGATAGCCAGAAAATGACGGAGACGGCGCACAATGCAAACACAGAATAAGAGCTGTAGAAAACCTGGAGGCGACAGTAAATCGAACATAGAATGATAGTTGTAGAAACGCCGAAACGGCGCATAATGCAAACACAGAATAAGAGCCAGAAAACTGGAGGCGACAGTAAATCGAACATAGAATGATAGCTGCAGAAACGCCGGAAACGGCACACAATGCAACACAGAATAAGAGCTGTAGAAACCTGAGGGGCGACAGTAAACTGAACATAGAATGATGAAGGTAGAAACGCTGAGACGGCGCACAATGCAAACACAGAATAAGAGCTGTAGAAACCTGGAGGCGACAGTAAATCGAACTTAGAATGATGAAGGTAGAAACGCCGGAGACGGCGCACAACGCAACACAGAATAAGAGCTGTAGAAAACTTGGAGGCGACAGTAACGAACATAGAATGATAGCTGTAGAAATGCCGGAGACGGCACAATGCAAATACAGAATAAGAGCTGTAGAAACCTGGAGGCGACAGTAAATCGAACATAGAATGATAGCTGTAGAAACGCCGAAACGGCACACAATGCAACACAGACTAAGAGCTGTAGAAACCTGGAGGCGACAGTAAATCGAAATATAGAATGATAGTTGCAGAAACGCTGGACGGCAATAATAATGCAAAACAGAATAAGAGAGCTGTAGAAAACTTGGAGGCGACAGTAAATCGAACATATAGAAGGATAGTTGAAAACGCTGAGACGGCGCACAATGCAAATACACAGAATAAGAGCTATAGAAACCTGGAGGCGACAGTAAATCGAATATAGAAATGATAGCTAAAATGCTGGAGACGGCGCACAATGCAACACAGAATAAGAGCCAGAAAACTTGGAGGCGACAGTAAACGAACATAAAATGATGAAGTTGTAAAAACGCCGGAAACGGCGCACACGCAACACAGAATAAGAGCTGAGAATCGAGGCGACAGGTAAATCAAACATAGAATGATATTTGTAAAACGCTGAGACGGCACACAATGCAAATACAAATAAGAGCTGTAGAAACCTGGAGGCGACAGGTAAATCGAACATAGAATGATAGCTGAAAAACGCCGAGACGGCGCACAATGCAACAGAATAAGAGCCAGAAATTTCAGAGGCAACAGTAAATCGAACATAGAATGATAGCGTAAAAACGCCGGAGACGGCGCACAATGCAACACAGAATAAGAGCTGTGGAAACCTGGAGGCGACAGTAAAATCGAACATAGAATGATAGCTGTAGAAATGGAGACGGCGCACAATGCAAATACAGAATAAGAGCTGTAGAAACTCTGAGGCGACAGTAAATCGAACATAGAATGATAGTTGTGGTGAAACGCCGGAAACGGCACACAATGCAACACAGAATAAGAGCTAGAAACTCTGGAGGCGAAGGTAAATTTAGAAAATGATATGTAGAATGCCGAGACGGCGCACAATGCAAAACAGAATAAGAGCTGTAGAAACCTGGAGGCGACAGTAACGAAATATAGAATGATAAGCTAGAAACGCCGGAGACGGCGCACAATGTAACACAGAATAAGAGAGCCGGAGGCAGTAAATCGAACATAGAATGATAGGCGAGACAGTAAATGCAAAACAGAATAAGAGCTAGAAACCTGGAGGCGACAGTAAATCGAAATATGAATGAAAACGCCGGAGACGGCGAATAACAAGACAGAATAAGAGCTGTAGAAACCTGGAGGCGACAGTAAATCGAACATAGAATGATAGCTGTAAAAACGATGGAGACGGCGCACAATGCAACACAGAATAAGAGCCAGAAACCTGAGGCGACAAAATCGAACATAGAATGATAGCTGAGAAACGACGAGACGGCGCACAATGCAACACAGAATAAGAGCTGTAGGCGAAAACGCGAACATAGAATGATAGCTGGAGGCGACAGTAAAATAAGAAAAATAGGCGACAGTAGAATAGAATGAGCTGTAAAACGCCGGAGACGGCGCACAATGCAACACAGAATAAGAGCCAGAAACTTGGAGGCGACAGTAAATCGAACATAGAATGATAGCTGTAAAAAACGCCGGAGACGGCGCACAATGCAACACAGAATAAGAGCTGTAGAAATCCTGAGGCGACAGTAAATCGAACATAGAATGATAGCTGTAGAAACGACGGAGACGGCGCACAATGCAACACAGAATAAGAGCTGTAGAAACCTGGAGGCGACAGTAAATCGAACATAGAACGATAAGCTGTAGAAACGCCGGAGACGGCGCACAATGCGACAAAAGAGCTGTACAGACAGTAACGAAGAGATAGTTGGAACGCCGGAGAAAATGCTTAAGAGCTGTAGAACGAGGCGACAGTAAATCGAACATAGAATGATAGCTGTGGAAACGACGGAGATGGCGCACAATGCAACACAGAATAAGAGCTGTAGAAACCCTGAGGCGACAGTAAATCGAACATAGAATGATAGTTGTAGAAACGCCGGAGACGGCGCACAATGCAACACAGAATAAGAGCTGTAGAAATCTGGAGGCGACAGTAAATCGAATATAGAATGATAGTTGTAGAAACGCCGGAGACGGCGCACAATGCAACACAGAATAAGAGCTGTAGAAACTCTGGAGGCGACAGTAAATCGAAATATAGAATGATAGCTGTAGAAACGACGGAGACGCAATGTAACACAGAATACAGAAGAGCGCCAGAAACTTGGAGGCGACAGTAAATCGAACATAGAATGATAGCTGAAACGACGGAGGGCGCACAATGCACACAGAATAAGAGCTGTAGAAAACCTGGAGGCGACAGTAAAATCGAATATAGAATGATAGCTGTACGGAGAAACGCAACACAGAATAAGAGTTGTACGGAGGCGACAGTAACGAAATATAGAATGATAAGGTGAAACGCCGGAATAAGAATAAGAGCCAGAAACCTGGAGGCGACAGTAAATTGAACATAGAATGATAGCTGTAGAAACGACGAGACGGCGCACAATGCAAATACAGAATAAGAGCTGAAACCTGGAGGCGACAGTAAATCGAACATAGAATGATAAAGGTAGAAACGCCGAGACGGCGCACAATGCAAACACAGAATAAGAGCTGTAGAAACCTGAGGCGACAGTAATCGAAATATAGAATGATAGGGCGAGAAACGACGGAGACGGCGCAATAATGCAACACAGAATAAGAGCCAGAAACCTGGAGGCGACAGTAAATCGAACATAGAATGATAGCTGTAGAAACGACGACGGCGCACAATGCGACACAGAATAAGAGCTGTAGAAACCTGGAGGCGACAGTAAATCGAACATAGAATGATACAGAAACGCCGGACGGCGCACAATGCAACACAGAATAAGAGCTGTAGAAACTCTGGAGGCGACAGTAAATCGAACATAGAATGATAGCTGTAGAAACGACGGAGACGGCGCACAATGCAACACAGAATAAGAGCTGTAGAAACCGGAGGCGACAGTAAATCGAACATAGAATGATAGCTGTAGGAAACGACGGAGACGGCGCAACAGAATAAGAGCAGAAACAGGCGACAGTAAGAGCATAGAAGAAAAATGCCGGAGACGGCGACAGTAAAATAAGAGCGAACATAACATAGAATGATAGCTGTAGAAACGACGGAGACGGCGCACAATGCAACACAGAATAAGAGCTGTAGAAACCTGGAGGCGACAGTAAATCGAACATAGAATGATAGCTGTAGAAACGCCTGGGAGACGGCGGTAAACAATGCAACACAGAATAAGAGCCAGAAAAAACCTGGAGGCGAGCAGTAAATCGGAACATAGAATGAAGGTAGAAACGCTGGAGACGGCGCACAATGCAACACAGAATAAGAGCTAGAAACCCGGCAGCGACAGTAACCGGAACATAGAATGATAGCTGCAAAACGCTGAGACGGCGCACAATGCAACACGAATAAGAGCTGTAGAACTCTGAGGCGACAGTAAATCGAACAGAATGATAGGCTGTAGAAACGCCGGAGACGGCGAACAATGCAACACAGAATAAGAGCTGTAGAAACTCTGGAGGCGAGCCAGCAGAACGAACATAGAATGATAGTTGTAGAAACGCCGACGGCGAACAATGCAACACAGAATAAGAGCCTGTAGAAACTCTTGAGGCGACAGTAAATCGAACATAGAATGATAGCTGTAGAAACGCCGGAGACGGCGCACAATGCAAAACAGAATAAGAGCTGTAGAAACCTGGAGGCGACAGAAATCGAACATAGAATGATATTGCAGAAACGCCGAACGGCGCACGAATGCAACACAGAATAAGAGCCAGAACTCTGGAGGCGACAGTAAATCGAACATAGAATGATAGCTGTAGAAACGCCGGAGACGGCGCACAATGCAACACAGAATAAGAGCTGTAGAAACTCTGGAGGCGACAGTAAATCGAACACAGAATGATAGCTGGTAGAAACGCCGGAGACGGCGCACAATGCAACACAGAATAAGAGCCAGAAACTTCTGAGGCGACAGTAACCGAACATAGAATGATAGCTGTGAAACGCCGGAGACGGCGCACAATGCAAATACAGAATAAGAGCTGTAGAAACTCTGGAGGCGACAGTAACTCGAACATAGAATGATAGTTGCAGAAACGCCGAGACGGCGCACAATGCAACACAGAATAAGAGCTGTAGAAACCTGGAGGCGACAGTAAATCGAACATAGAATGATAGCTGTAGAAACGACGGAGACGGCGCACAATGCAACACAGAATAAGAGCTGTAGAACTCTCAGAATGAATATAGAATGGCGACAGTAAATCGAACATAAGAATGACAGTAAGGAAACGCCGGAGACGGCGCACAATGCAACACAGAATAAGAGCTGTAGAAACCTGGAGGCGACATAAATCGAACATAGAAAATCGAGACGGCACAATGCAACACAGAATAAGAGCTGTAGAAACTCTGGAGGCGACAGTAAATCGAACACAGAATGATAGCTGTAGAAACGACGGAGACGGCGCACAATGCAACACAGAATAAGAGCTGTAGAAACTCGGAGGCGACAGTAAATCGAACATAGAATGATAGCTGTAGAAACGACGGAGACGGCGCACAATGCAACACAGAATAAGAGCTGTAGAAACTCTGGAGGCGACAGTAAATCGAACATAGAATAATAGTTGCAGAAACGCTGGAGACGGCGCACAATGCAAATACAGAATAAGAGCTGTAGAAACCTGGAGGCGACAGAATAAGAGCCAGAAACTTGGAGGCGACAGCAAATCGAATACAATGATAGCTGGTAAAAACGCCGGGAGACGGGCGCACAATGCAAATACAGAATAAGAGCTGTAGAAACCTGAGGCGACAGTAAATCGAACATAGAATGATGAAGGTAGAAACGCCGGAGACGGCGCACAATGCAACACAGAATAAGAGCTGCAGAAACTCTGGAGGCGACAGAATCGAACATAGAATGATAGCTGTAGAAACGACGGAGACGGCGCAATGCAACACAGAATAAGAGCTGTAGAACTCTGGAGGCGACAGTAAATCGAACATAGAATGAGAAGCAAAAAACGCCGAGACGGCGCAATGCAACACAGAATAAGAGCTGTGGAAAGTCCTGGAGGCGAAGGAAAAACGAACATAGAATGGATAGCTGTAGAAACGCCGAGACGGCGCACAATGCAACACAGAATAAGAGCTGTAGAAACTCTGGAGGCGACAGTAAATCGAAATACAGAATGATAGTTGTAGAAACGCTGGAGACGGCGCACACGCAACACAGAATAAGAGCTGTAGAACCGGAGGCGACAGTAACCGAACATATAGAATGATAGCTGTAGAAACGCCGAAACGGCACACAATGCAAATACAGAATAAGAGCTGTAGAAACCTGAGGCGACAGTAATCGAACATAGAATGATATTAGCTGTAGAAACGCTGAGACGGCGCACAATGCAAACAGAATAAGAGCTGTAGAACTCTGGAGGCGACAGTAATGAAATATAGAAGGATACAGAAACGCTGGAGACGGCGCACAATGCAACACAGAATAAGAGCTGTAGAAACTCTGGAGCGACAGTAACTCGAACATAGAATGATAGCTGTAAAAACGCCGAGACGGCGCACAATGCAACACAGAATAAGAGCTGTAGAAACTCTGGAGGCGACAAAATCGAACAGAATGAGCGAAGGCGACAGTAAATGCAACACAGTATAAGAGCTGTGATAAGGCGACAGTAAATCGAACATAGAATGAGATAAAAACGCCGGGAGACGGCGCACAATACAAATACAGAATAAGGCTGAAAACTCTGGAGGCGACAGTAAATCGAACATAGAATGATAGCTGTAAAACGCCGGAATGGCGCACAATACAACACAGAATAAGAGCTGTAGAAACTCTGGAGGCGACGGTAAATCGAACATAGAATGATAGCTGTAAAAAAACGCCGGAGACGGCACAATGCAACACAGAATAAGAGCTGTAAAACCTGAGAATAAATATGAATGATAGCCAAGAAAACTCTAAGACAGAAACCGGCGACAGTAAATCGAACATAGAATGATGGCGCTGTAGAAACGCGGAGACGGCGCACAATGCAACACAGAAATAAGAGCTGTAGAAACTCTGGAGGCGACAGTAAATCGAACATAGAATAATAGCTGTAGAAACGATGGAGACGGCGCACAATGCAACACAGAATAAGAGCTGTAGAAAACTCTGGAGGCGACAGTAAATCGAATATGGAATGATAGCTGTAGAAACGCCGGAGACGGCGCCTGATGCAACACAGAATAAGAGCTGTAGAAACTCTGGAGGCGACAGTAAATCGAACATAGAATGATAGTTGAGAAACGCCGGAGACGGCGAACAATGCAACACAGAATAAGAGCCGTAGAAACTTGGAGGCGACAGTAACCGAACATAGAATGATAGCTGTAGAAACGCCGGAGACGGCGCACAATGCAACACAGAATAAGAGCCAGAAACCTGGAGGCGACAGTAAATCGAACATAGAATGATAGCTGTAGAAACGACAGAGACGGCGCACAATGCAACACAGAATAAGAGCTGTAGAAACCTGGAGGCGACAAACGTAAATCGAACATAGAATGAGAGGCGAGGTAGAAACGCTGTAGAAACGACGGCGCACAATGCAACACAGAATAAGAGCTGTAGAAACTTGGAGGCGACAGTAAATCGAACATATAGAATGATACAGAAACGCCGGAGACGGCGAACAATGCAACACAGAATAAGAGCTGTAGAAACTCTGGAGGCGACAGTAAATCGAACATAGAATGATAGCTGTAGAAACGCCGGAGACGGCGCACAGAATGCAACACAGAATAAGAGCTGTAGAAACTCTGGAGGCGACAGAATAAATCGAACATAGAATGATAGCGCTGTAGAAACGCCGGAGACGGCGCACAATGCAACACAGAATAAGAGCTGTAGAAACTCTGGAGGCGACAGTAAATCGAACATAGAATGATAGCTGTAGAAACGCCGGAGATGGCGCACAATGCAACACAGAATAAGAGCTGTAGAAACTCTGGAGGCGACAGTAAATCGAACATAGAATGATAGCTGTAGAAACGCCGGAGACGGCGCACAATGCAACACAGAATAAGAGCTAGAAACTCTGTGAGGCGACAGTAAATCGAACATAGAATGATGGCTGTAGAAACGCCGGAGACGGCGCACAATGCAACCTGTTAAGGCAGTACAAAACTCTGTGGGCGACGATAAATCGAACATAGAATGATGGCTGTAGAAACGCCGGAGACGGCACAATGCAACACAGAATAAGAGCTGTAGAAACTCTGGGCGACAGTAAATCGAACATAGAATGATAGCTGTAGAAACGCGGAACGGCACTTACCATGCAACACAGAATAAGAGCTGTAGAAACTCTGGGGCGACAGTAAATCTGTAAAACACGGAACGAAATGATAAGAGCTGTACGACGGTAAACGCCGGAGAAACGCCGGAGACAGCGCATACAACACAGAATAAGAGCTGTAAGAAACTCTGGAGGCGACAATAAATCGAACATAGAATAATAGCTGTGAAACGCCGGAGACGGCGCCTGATACAACAGAATAAAGAGCTGTGAAAACTCTGGGCGACAGTAAATCGAACATGAATAATAGCTGTAGAAACGCCGGAGACGGCACCTGATACAACACAGAATAAGAGCTGTAGAAACTCTGTGGGCGACAGTAAATCGAACATGGGGAATTGGCTGGCCAGAAACGCGGAGACGGCGCACAATGCAACACAGAATAAAGAGCTGTAGAAACTCTGGAGGCGACAGTAAATCGAACATAGAATGATAGCTGTAGAAACGCCGGAGACGGCGCACAATGCAACACAGAATAAGAGCTGTAGAAACTCTGGAGGCGACAGTAAATCGAACAAGAATAATAGCTGTGAGAAACGCCGGAGAAGGCGCACAATGCAACACAGAATAAGAGCTGTAGAAACTCTGGAGGCGACAGTAAATCGAACATAGAATGATAGCTGTAGAAACGACGGAGACGGCGCACAATGCAACACAGAATAAGAGCTGTAGAAACTCTGGAGCGACAGTAAATCGAACATAGAATGATAGCTGTAGAAACATAGGAGACGGCGCACAAAATGCAACACAGAATAAGAGCTGTAGAAACTCTGTGGAGCGACAGTAAATCGAACATAGAATGATAGCTGGCAGGAAACGACGGAGACGGCGCACAATGCAACACAGAATAAGAGCTGTAGAAACTCTGGAGGCGACAGTAAATCGAACATAGAATGATAGCTGTAAGAAACGCCGGAGACGGCGCACAATGCAACACAGAATAAAGAGCTAAAATCGAACATAGAATAGCTGTAGAAACATGGAACGGCAGAAACTCAGAATAAAGTGGCAAAAATCTGGAACATAAAATCGAACATAGCTAATAGCTGTGAGAAACGCCGGAGACGGCGCTGTACAACTCTGCAACAACATGTATAAGCAGTAGAAACGCCGGAGACTGTATACAACACAGAATAAGAGCTCTGGAGGCGACAGTAAATCGAACATGGGAATGATAGCTGGCAAAACGCCGGAGACGGCGCTGATACAACACAGAATAAAACTGTAGAAACTCTGAGGCGACAGTAAAAATCGAACATAGAATGATGGCTGTAGAAACGCCGGGACGGCACAATACAACACAGAATAAGAGCTGTAGAAACTCTGGAGGCGACAGTAAATCGAACATAGAATGATAGCTGTAGAAACGCCGGAGACGGCGCACAATGCAACACAGAATAAGAGCTGTAGAAACTCTGGAGGCGACAGTAAATCGAACATAGAATGATAGCTGTAGAAACGCCGGAGACGGCGCAATGCACAGAATAAGAGCTGTAGAAACTCTGGAGGCGACAGTAAAATCGAACATAGAATGATAGCTGTAGAAACGCCGGAACGGCGCAAATGCAACACAGAATAAGAGCTGTAGAAACCGAAACTCTGGGCCGGAGACGACAGTAAATAAGAGTCAGACACAGTAGAATATAGAATAGCTGTAGAAACGCAGACGGCGACGGCGAATAAGAGCCGTAGAAACCTGAAACACAGAATAAGAGCTGTACAGAAACTCTGGAGGCGACAGTAAATCGAACATAGAATAATAGCTGTAGAAACGCCGGAGACGGCGCACAATACTGTAACCTGAGACAGTAAATCGAACATAGAATAATAGCTGTAGAAAACGCCGGAGACACTCTGGAGCTGTAGAAACTCTGGGCACAGTAAATCGAACATAGAATGATGGCTGTAGAAACGCCGGAGACGGCACAATGCAACACAGAATAAGAGCTGTAGAAACTCTGGGCGACAGTAAATCGAACATAGAATGATAGCTGTAGAAACGCTGGAACGGCGCACAATGCAAAAACAAGAACAAGAGCTGTAGGAAACTCTGGATAGCTCGAACATAGAATGATAGCTGCCGCCGAGACGGCGCACAATGCAACACAGAATAAGAGCTGTAGAAACTCTGGGGCGACAGTAAATCGAACATAGAATGATGGCTGTGAAACGACGGAGACGGCGCACAATGCAAACACAGTATAAGAGCTGTGGAAACTCTGGAGGCGAAGGTAAATCGAACATAGAATGACCGCTGTAGAAACGACGGAGACGGCGCACAATGCAACACAGAATAAGAGCAGTAGAAACTCTGGAGGCGACAGTAAATCGAACATAGAATGATAGCTGTAGAAACGACGGAGACGGCGCACAATGCAACACAGAATAAGAGCCAGCACGAAACTCTGGAGGCGACAGTAAATCGAACATAGAATGAACATAGAATGTGAAACGCCGGAGACGGCGCACAATGCAACACAGAATAAGAGCTGTAGAAACTCTGGGGCGACATAAATCGAACATAGAAATGATAGCTGCAGAAACGACGGAGACGGCGCAAAATGCAACACAGAATAAGAGTCAGAAACCTCTGAGGCGACAGTAAAATCGAACATAGAATAATAGCTGTAGAAACGCCGGACAATGCAACACACAGAATAAAGAGCTGTAGAAACTCTGGAGGCGACAGTAAATCGGTTATAGAATAATAACAGCGTAGAAACGCCGGTGACGGCACAAATGCAACACAGAATAAGAGCTGTAGAACTCTGAGGCGACGGTAAATCGAACATAGAATTATGGCTGTGAAACGCCGGAGACGGCGTAATAATGCAACACAGAATAAAGAGCTGTAAAAATGGAGGCGACGATAATCGAACATAGAATGATAGCTGTAGAAACGCCGGAGACGGCACTACAATGTAACCACAGATAAGAGCTGTAGAAAACTCAGAGCGACAATGCAAATCGAACTTGTAGAATGATGGCTGTAGAAACGCGGAACGGCGCACAATGCAACACAGAATAAGAGCTGTAGAAACGAACATAGAATGATAGCTGTAGAAACGCCGGAGACGGCACAGCAATACAACACAGAATAAAGAGCTGTGAAACTCTGGAGGCGACAGTAAATCGAACATAGAATGATAGCTGGCAGAAACGCCGGAGACGGCGCACAATGCAACACAGAATAAGGCTGGCAAAACTCTGGAGGCGACGTCGTCGAACATGGAATGATAGCTGTGGAAACGACGGAGACGCCGAACAATGCAACACAGAATAAGAGCTGTAGAAACTCTGGAGGCGACGGTAAATCCAACATAGAATGATAGCTGTAAAACGCGACGGAGACGGCGCACAATGCAACACAGAACTAAGAGCTGTAGAAACTCTGGAGGCGACAATAAATCGAACATAGGGTGATAGCTGTAGAAACGCCGGAGACGGCGCTGATACAACTTACAGAATAAGAGCTAGCCAGAAACTCTGGAGGCGAGGATAAATCGACATAGAATGATAGCTGTAAAACGAAACGGCACCTGATACAACACCAGGATAGCTCTGTACGACATGAAAATCGCCATGAATGAGACGGCCGGAGACGGCGCACAATGCAACACCTGAATAAGAGCTGTAGAAACTCTGGAGGGCGACAGTAAATCGAACATAGAATGATAGCTGTAGAAACGCCGGAGACGGCACCACAATGCAACACAGAATAAGAGCTGTAGAAACTCTGGAGGCGACAGTAAATCGAACATAGAATGATGGGCTGGCAAAACGCCGGAGACGGCGCGCAATGCAACACAGAATAAGGCTGTAGAAACTCTGGAGGCGACAGTAAATCGAACATAGAATGATGGCTGTAGAAACGCCGGAGACGGCGAACAACACGGAATGAGCTGTAAAACTCTGGGCGAGAATAAGATAGCTGATGGCTGTAAGAAACGACGGAGACGGCGCACAATGCAACACAGTAAAAAACTCTGGGCGACATAAAATCGAACATAGAATGATAGCTGTAGAAACGCCGGAGACGGCGCAAATGCAACACAGAATAAGAGCTGCTGTAAAACTCTGGAGCGACAGTAAATCGAACATAGAATGATAGCTGTAAAACGCCGGAAACAGCCCACAATGCAACACAGAATAAGACTGTGCAAACTCTGGAGGCGACAGTAAATCAGACATAGAATGATGGCTAGCGAACGCCGGAGACGGCGCACAATACAACACAGAATAAGAGCTGTAGAAACTCTGGAGGCGACAGTAAATCGAACATAGAATGATAGCTGTAGAAACGCCGGAGACGGCGCACAATGCAACACAGAATAAGAGCTGGCAGAAACTCTGGAGCGACAGTAAATCGGTGTATAGAATGATGGCTGTAGAAACACCGGAGACAGCGCACAATGCAACAGAATAAGGGCGCTGTAGAAACTCTGGAGGCGACGGTAAATCAGACATAGAATGATAGCTGTAAAACGACGGAGACGGCGCACAATACAACACAGGATAAGAGCTGCAAAACTCTGGAGGCGACAGTAAATCGAACATAGAATGATAGCTGTAAAAACGACGGAGACGGCGCACAATGCAACACAGAATAAGAGCTGTAGAAACTCTGGAGGCGACAGTAAATCGAACATAGAATGATGGAGCTGTAGAAACGCCGGAGACGCGCACAATGCAACACAGAATAAGAGCTGTAGAAACTCTGGAGGCGACAGTAAATCGAACATAGAATGATAGCTGTAGAAACGCCGAGACGGCGCACAATGCAACACAGAATAAGAGCTGTAGAAACTCTGGAGGGCGACAGTAAATCGAACATAGAATGATAGCTGTAGAAACGCCGGAGACGGCGCACAATGCAACACAGAATAAGAGCTGTAGAAACTCTGGAGGCGACAGTAAATCGAACATAGAATGATAGCGGTAGAAACGCCGGAGACGGCGCACAATGCAACACAGAATAAGAGCTGAGAAACTCTGGAGGCGACAGTAAATCGAACATAGAATGATAGCTGTGTAGAAACGCCGGAGACGGCGCACAATGCAACACAGAATAAGAGCTGTAGAAACTCTGGGAGGCGACAGTAACATGGAATGATAGCGAACATAGAATGATCTGTGAGTAGAAACGCCGGAGACGGCGCACAATGACATAAGAGCCATGAGAAACGGCGGAGACGGCACAATGCAACACAGAATAAGAGCTGAGAAACTCTGGAGGCGACAGTAAATCGAACATAGAATGATAGCTGCAGAAACGACGGAGACGGCGCACAATACAACACAATAAAGAGCTGTAGAAACTCTGGAGGCGACAGTAAATCGAACATAGAATGATAGCTGTAGAAACGCCGGAGACGGCGCACAATGCAACACAGAATAAGAGCTGTAGAAACTCTGGAGGCGACAGTAAATCGAACATAGAATGATAGCTGTAGAAACGCCGGAGACGGCGCACAATGCAACACAGAATAAGAGCTGTAGAAACTCTGGAGGCGACAGTAAATCGAACATAGTAAATCGAACACAATGCAACACAGAATGATAGCTGATAGCTGTAGAAACGACGGAGACGGCGCACAATGCAACACAGAATAAGAGCTGTAGAAACTCTGGAGGCGACAGTAAATCGAACATGGAATGATAGCTGTAGAAACGACGGAGACGGCGCACAATGCAACACAGAATAAGAGCTGTAGAAACTCTGGAGGCGACAGTAAATCGAACATAGAATGATAGCTATAGAAACGACGGAGACGGCGCACAATGCAACACAGAATAAGAGCTGTAGAAAAACTCTGGGAGGCGACAGTAAATCGAACATAGAATGATGATAGCTGAAAACGACGGAGACGGCGCACAATGCAACACAGAATAAGAGCTGTAGAAACTCTGGAGGCGACAGTAAATCGAACATAGAATGATAGCTGTAGAAACGCCGGAGACGGCGCACAATGCAACACAGAATAAGAGCTGTAGAAACTCTGGAGGCGACAGTAAATCGAACATAGAATGATAGCTGTAGAAACGCCGGAGACGGCGCACAATGCAACACAGAATAAGAGCTGTAGAAACTCTGGAGGCGACAGTAAATCGAACATAGAATGATAGCTGAAGAAACGCCGGAGACGGCGCACAATGCAACACAGAATAAGAGCTGTAGAAAACTCTGGAGGCGACAGTAAATCGAACATAGAATGATAGCTGTAGAAACGCCGGAGACGGCGCACAATGCAACACAGAATAAGAGCTGTAGAAACTCTGGGCGACAGTAAATCGAACCAGAAACGACGAACGATATAGAATGGAGACGGCGCAACTCTAAGAGGAAACTCGAGGCGACAAAATCGAACATAGAATGATAGCTGTAGAAACGCCGGAGACGGCACTGCACAATGAGACGGCGCAACACACAGAATAAGAGCTGTAAAACTCTGAGGCGACAGTAAATCGAACATAGAATGATATAACACACAGAATAAGAGCTGTAGAAACTCTGGAGGCGACAGTAAATCGAACATAGAATGATAGCTGTAGAAACGACGACGGCGCAATGAGACGGAGGCACAGTAACCGAAACACAATGAATAAACGCGAGCTGTAGAAAAGAGCTCTGGAGGCGACAGTAAATCGAACATAGAATGATAGCTGTAGAAACGCGGAGAGACGGCGCACAATGCAACACACAGAATAAGAGCTGTAGAAAACTCTGGAGGCGACAGTAAATCGAACATAGAATGATAAAGGTAGAAACGCCGGAGACGGCGCAATAATGCAACACAGAATAAGAGCTGTAGAAACTCTGGAGGCGACAGTAAATCGAACATAGAATGATAGCTGTAGAAACGCCGGAAACGGCACACAATGCAACACAGAATAAGAGCTGTAGAAACTCTGGAGGCGACAGTAAATCGAACATAGAATGATAGCTGTAGAAACGCCGGAGACGGCGCACAATGCAACACAGAATAAGAGCTGTAGAAACCGAGGCGACAGTAAATCGAACAGAATAATAGCGGGTGAAACGCCGGAGACGGCGCACAGTCGCAACACAGAATAAGAGTCAGAAACTTGCGGCGACAGTAAACGAATATAGAATGATAGCTGTAGAAACGCCGAGACGGCGCACAATGCGCCAGAATAAGAGCCGTAGAAACCTGAAAGCGACAGTAACCGGAATATAGAATGATGTAGAAACGCCGGAGGGCACAATGAACACAGAATAAGATCGAGGCGACAGTAAATCGAATGAATGATATATTAGAAACGCCGGAGACGGCGCCGCAATGCAACACAGAATAAGAGCTGTGAAACTCTGGGCGACGGTAAATCGAACATAGAATGATGGCTGTAGAAAACGCCGGAGACGGCGCTGATACAACACAGAATAAGAGCTGTAGAAAACTCTGGGACAGAACAGAATAAATCGAAACGCCGGATAGCACAATGCAACACAGAATAAGAGCTGTAGAAACGACGGGAATACAGAATGATAGCTGTAGAAACGCAAGACGGTACAATGGAATACAGAAGAGCTGTAGGAAACTCTGGGCGATAGTAAATCGAACCTAGAATGATAGCTGCAGAAACGACGAGACGGCGCACAATGCAACACAGAATAAGAGCTGTAGAAACTCTGAGGCGACAGTAAATCAGAACATAGAATGATAGCTGTAGAAACGCCGGAGACGGCGCACAATGCAAACACAGTATAAGAGCTGGCTAGAAAACTCTGGAACAGTAAATCGAACATAGAATGATAGCGTAGAAACGCCGGAGACGGCGCACAATGCAACACAGAATAAGAGCTGTAGAAACTCTGGAGGCGACAGTAAATCGAACATAGAATGATAGCTGTAGAAAACGCCGGAGACGGCGCACAATGCAACACAGAATAAGAGCTGTAGAAACTCTGGAGGCGACAGTAATGAATCGAAACACGGAGACGAAAACAGTAAATCGAACATAGAATGAGCTGTAGAAACGCTAGAAAGTAAATCGAACATAGCGGAGACGGAGACGGCACAATGCAACACAGAATAAGAGCTGTAGAAACTCTGGAGGCGACAGTAAATCGAACATAGAATGATAGCTGTAGAAACGACGGAGACGGCGCACAATGCAACACAGAATAAGAGCTGTAGAAACTCTGGAGGCGACAGTAAATCGAACATAGAATGATAGCTGTAGAAACGCCGGAGACGGCGCACAATGCAACACAGAATAAGAGCTGTAGAAACTGTAGAACCTGAGGCGACAGTAAATCGAACATAGAATGATAGCTGTAGAAACGACGGAGACGGCACAATGCAACACAGAATAAGAGCCGTAGTAACTCTGGAGGCGACAGTAAATCGAATATAAGAATGATAGCGTAGAAACGCCGGAGACGGCGCACACGCAACACAGACAAGAGCTGTAGAAACTCTGAAGGACAGTAAATCGAATACAGAATGATAGCTGTAGAAACGACGGAGAGACGGCGCACACGTAACACAGAATAAGAGCTGTAGAACTCTGAGGCGACAGTAAATCGAACATAGAATGATAGCTGTAGAAACGCCGGAGACACAATGCAACACAGAATAGAGCCAGAAACTCTGAGGCGACAGTAAATCGAACATAGAATGATAGAGAACGCCGAGACGGCGCACAATGCAACACAGAATAAGAGCTGTAGAAACCTGGAGGCGACAGTAAAATCGAACATAGAATGATAGTTGTAGAAACGCCGGACGGCGCACACGTACAAATACAGAATAAGAGCTGTAGAAACCTGGAGGCGACAGTAAATCGAACATAGAATGATGGCTTGTAGAAACGCCGGAGACGGCGCACAATGCAACACAGAATAAGAGCTGTAGAAACCTGGAGGCGACAGTAAACGAACATAGAATACCGCTGTAGAAACGCCGGAGACGGCGCACAATGCAACACAGAATAAGAGCCAGAAAACTCTGAGGCGACAGAATAAGAATGATATCGAAACGCCGGAGACGGACGGCACAATGCAACACAGAAATAAGAGCTGTAGAAACCTGGAGGCGACAGTAAATCGAACATAGAATGATAGCTGTAGAACGCCGGAGACGGCGCACAATGCAACACAGAATAAGAGCTGTAGAAACCTGAGGCGACAGTAACCGAACATAGAATGATAGTTGCAGAAACGCCGGAGACGGCGCACAATGCAACATACAGAATAAGAGCCAGAAACCTGAGGCGACAAATCGAACATAGAATGATAGTTGTAGAAACGCCGGAGACGGCGCAATGCAAACACAGAATAAGAGGCCAGAAACCTGGAGGCGACAGTAACCGAACATAGAATGATAGTTGTAGAAACGCCGAGACGGCGCACAATGCAACATGAATAAGAGCTGTAGAAACTCTGAGGCGACAGTAATCGAATGCTAGAATGATAGTTGTAGAAACGCCGGAGACGGCACACAATGCAACACAGAATAAGAGCTGTAGAAACTTGAGGCGACAGTAAATCGAACATAGAATGATAATAGAAACGCCGAGACGGCGCACAATGCAACACAGAAATAAGAGCTGTAGAAACCTGGAGGCGACAGTAAATCGAACATAGAATGATACAGAAACGCCGGAGACGGCGCACAATGCAACACAGAATAAGAGCAGTAGAAACTCTGGAGGTGACAGTAAATCGAACATAGAATTAATAAAACGCCGGAGAAACGCAACACAAAGAGAGCGCACAATGCGACAGTAGAACATAGAATGAGCTGTAGAAACGCCGAGACGACACAAATCGAACAGAATAAGAGCTGTAGAAACTAGGCGACAGCAAATCGAACATGCAGAATGAGAAACGCCGAGACGGCGCACAATGCAACACAGAATAAGAGCAGAAACCTGAGGCGACAGTAAATCGAATAGAATGATAGCCAGAAACGACGGAGACGGCGCACAATGCAACACAGAATAAGAGCTGTAGAAACTTGGAGGCGACAGTAAATCGAACATAGAATGATAGCTGTAGAAACGCCGGAGACGGCGCACAATGCAACACAGAATAAGAGCTGTAGAAACTCTGGAGGCGACAGGTAAATCGAACATAGAATATAGCTGTAGAAACGCCGGAGACGGCGCACAATGCAAATACAGAATAAGAGCTGTAGAAACCTGGGAGGCGACAGTAAATCGAACATAGAATGATAGCGAAACGCCGGAGACGGCGCACAATGCAACACAGAATAAGAGCTGTAGAAACTTGGAGGCGACAGTAAATCGAACATAGAATGATAGTTGTGAAACGCCGGAGACGGCGCACAATGCAACACAGAATAAGAGCTGTAGAAACCTGAGGCGACAGTAAATCGAACATAGAATGATAGCTGAACGCTGGAGACGGCGCACACGTAACACAGAATAAGAGCTGTAGAAATCGGAGGCGACAGTAAATCGAACATAGAATGATAGCTGTAGAAACGCCGGAGAAGGCGCACAATGCAACACAGAATAAGAGCTTAAACCTGAGGCGACAGTAAATCGAACATAGAATGATAGCTGTAGAAACGACAGAGACGGCGCACAATGCAACACGGAATAAGAGCTGCAAGAAACTCTGGGCGACAGTAAATCGAACATAGAAGGATAGCTGTGAGAAACGCCGGAGACGGCGCCTGGTAACCACAGAATGAGCTGGCAGAAACTCTGGAGGCGACAGTAAATCAGACTTGTAGAATGATAGCTGTAGAAACGCCGGAGACGGCACCCACAATACTAACCTGGAATAAAGGCATAGAAACTCTGGGCGACAGTAAATCGAACATAGAATGATAGCTGTAGAAACGCCGGAGACGGCCGCACAATGCAACACAGAATGAAGCTGTAGAAACTCTGCAGGCGACGGTAAATCGAACATAGAATGATAGCTGTAGAAACGCGGAGACGGCACTGATACAACACAGAATAAGAGCTGCGAGAAACTCTGGAGGCGACAGTAAATCAGAACATAGAATGATGGCTGGCAGAAACGCCGGAGACGGCGAACAATGCAACACAGATAAGAGCTGTAGAAACTCTGGAGGCGACAGTAAATCGAACAGAAACGCCGGAGAATGAACACAGAATAAGAGCTGTAGAAACGGAGGCGACAGTAAATCGAATGAGACGGCGCACAATGCAACACAGAATAAGAGCTGTAGAAACCTGGAGGCGACAGTAAATCGAACATAGAATGATAGCGTAGAAACGACGAGACGGCGCACAATGCAACACAGAATAAGAGCTGTAGAAACTCTGAGGCGACAGTAACCCGAACATAGAATGATAGGTAGAAACGACGGAGACGGCGCACAATGCAAATACAGAATAAGAGCCGTAGAAACCTGGAGGCGACAGTAAATCGAACATAGAATGATAGCTGTAGAAACGCCGGAGACGGCGCACAATGCAAAACACAGAATAAGAGCTGTAGAAACCTGGAGGCGACAGTAAATCGAACATACAGAATGACAGTAGAACATGTAGAAACGCCGGAGACGGCGCACAATGCAAAACCTACAGAATAAGAGCTGTAGAAACGATTGGAGGCGACAGGCGACAGTAACCGAACACAGAATGATGAAGGTAGAAACGCTGGAGACGGCGCACAATGCAACATGAATAAGAGCTGTAGAAACTCTGTAGGCGACAGTAACCGAATGCTAGAATGATAGCTGTAGAAACGCCGGAGACGGCGCACAATGCAACACACAGAATAAGAGCTGTAGAAACCTGAGGCGACAGTAAATCGAACATAGAATGATAATGGTAGAAACGCCGAGACGGCGCACAATGCAAACACAGAATAAGAGCTGTAGAACCTGGAGGCGACAGTAAATCGAACATAGAATGATACAGAAACGCCGAGACGGCGCACAATGCAACACAGAATAAGAGCAGTAGAAACCTGTAGGCGACAGTAAATCGAAATCGAACAGAATGATAATTGTAAACGCCGGAGACGGCGCACAATGCAACACAGAATAAAGAGCAGTAGAAACCTGGAGGCGACAGTAAATCGAACATAGAATGATAGCTGTAGAAACGACGGAGACGGCGCACAATGCAACACAGAATAAGAGCTGTAGAAACCTGAGGCGACAGTAACCTGAACATAGAATGATAGCTGTAGAAACGACGGAGACGGCGCACAATGCAACACAGAATAAGAGCTAGAAACTCTGGGGCGACATAAATCTGAGGCGACAGAAACGAACATAGAATGATAGCCAGAAACGACGACGGCGCAAAATGCAAACACAGAATAAGAGCTGCAGAAACTTGGAGGCGACAGTAAATCGAACATAGAATGATAGCTGTAGAAACGCCGGAGACGGCGCACAATGCAACACAGAATAAGAGCTGTAGAAACTCTGGAGGCGACAACCGAACATAAATCGAAAACGCCGGAGACGGCGCATGAAATGAATAAGAGCTGTAGAAACCTGAGGCGACAGTAAATCGAACATAGCCGCCGGAGACGGCGCACAATGCAACACAGAATAAGAGCTGTAGAAACTCTGGAGGCGACGGTAAATCGAACATAGAATGATAGCTGTAGAAACGCCGGAGACGGCGCACAATAAATCAACACAGAATAAGAAACGCTGTGGAAAAACTCTGAGGCGACAGTAAATCGAACATAGAATGATAGTTGCAGAAACGCCGGAGACGGCGCACAATGCAACACAAAGAATAAGAGCTGAATAGAAACTCTGGAAACGCGACGGTAAATCGAACATGGAAATAATAGCTGTAGAAACGAGGCCGGAATATGAATGCGCACAATGCAACACAGAATAAGAGCTGTAGAAACTCTGGAGGCGACAGTAAATCGAACATAGAATGATAGCTGTAGAAACGACGGAGACGGCGCACAATGCAACACACAGAATAAGAGCTGAGCGTAGAAACTCTGGAGGCGACAGTAAATCAACATAGAATGATAGCTATAGAAAACGACGGAGACGGCGCACAATGCAACACAGAATAAGAGCTGTAGAAACTCTGGAGGCGACAGTAAATCGAACATAGAATGATAGCCAGAAACGCGGAGACGGCGCCACAATGCAACACAGAATAAGAGCTGTAGAAACTCTGTGGAGACGACAGTAAATCGAACATAGAATGATAGCTGTAGAAAACGACGGAGACGGCAGTGAATGCAAACACAGAATAAGAGCTGTAGAAACTCTGGAGGCGACAGTAAATCGAACATAGAATGATAGCTGTAGAAACGCCGGAGACGGCGCAAAATGCAACACACAGAATAAGAGCTGTAGAGGCGAACGAACATAGAATTATAGTTGCAGAAACGCCGGAGACGGCGACAACACAGAATAAGATCTGTAGAAATAGGCGACAGTAAATCGAACATAGAATGGATAGTTGGAAACGCCGGAGACGGCGCACAATGCAACACAGAATAAGAGCTGTAGAAACTCTGGAGGCGACACAGTAAATCGAACATAGAATGATAGCTGTAGAAACGCCGGAGACGGCGCACAATGCAACACAGAATAAGAGCTGTAGAAACTCTGGAGGCGACAGTAAATCGAACATAGAATGATAGCTGTAGAAACGCCGGAGACGGCGCACAATGCAACACAGAATAAGAGCTGTAGAAAACTCTGGAGGCGACAGTAAATCGAACATAGAATGATAGCTGTAGAAACGCCGGAGACGGCGCACAATGCAACACAGAATAAGAGCTGTAGAAACTCTGGAGGCGACAGAAAAGAACTCTGGAGAACGCCGGAGTAACCGAACATAGAATGAATAAGAGCTGTAGAAACGAAATCGGAATGACGTAGAAACGCAGACAATGCAACACAGAATAAGAGCTGTGGAAAACTCTGGAGGCGACAGTAAATCGAACATAGAATGATAGCTGTAGAAACGACGGAGACGGCGCACAATGCAACACAGAATAAGAGCTGTAGAAACTCTGGGCGACAGTAAATCGAACATAGAATGATAGCTGTAGAAACGCCGGAGACGGGCGCACAATGCAACACAGAATAAGAGCTGTAGAAACTCTGAGCGACAGTAAATCGAACATAGAATGATAGCTGTAGAAACGACGGAGACGGCGCACAATGCAACACAGAATAAGAGAGCTGTAGAAACTCTGGAGGCGACAGTAAATCGAACATAGAATGATAGCTGTAAAAACGCCGGAGACGGCGCACAATGCAACAGAATAAGAGCTGTAGAAACTCTGGAGGCGACAGTAAATCGAACATAGAATGATAGCTGAAAACGCCGGAGACGCGCACAATGCAACACAGAATAAGAGCTGTAGAAAACTCTGGAGGCGACAGTAAATCGAACAGAATGATAGCTAGAAACGCCGGAGACGGCGCACAATGCAAATACAGAATAAGAGCTGTGAAACTCTGGAGGCGACAGTAAATCGAACATAGAATGATAGCTGTAGAAAACGCCGAGACGGCGCACAATGCAAGAGAATAGAGCAGAAACTCTGGAGGCGACAGTAAATCGAAACAGAATGATATTGTAGAAACGCTGAGACGGCGCACAAATGCAACACAGAATAAGAGCTGTAGAAACCTGAGGCGACAGTAACGAATCGAACATAGAATGAGGCTGTAGAAACGCCGGAGACGGCGCACAATGCAACACAGAATAAGAGCTGTAGAAACTTGGAGGCGACAGTAAATCGAACACAGAATGATAGTTGTAGAAACGACGGAGACGGCACAATGCAACACAGAATAAGAGCTAGAAACTCTGTAGGCGACAGTAACCGAACATAGAATGATAGCGAAACGGGACGGCGCACAATGAACACAGAATAAGAGCCTGCACAGGCGATGAACATAGATCAACACAGAATAAGAGCTTGGGTAGAAAACTCTGGAGGCGACAGTAAATCGAACACAGAATATGAAGGTGAAACGCCGAGAAACGCCGAATAAGAGACGGAGGCGACACAATGCAAATACAGAAGAGCTGTAGAACCTGAGGCGACAGCAAATCGAACAGAATGATAGCTGTAGAAACGCCGGAGACGCATTAAATGCAAATACAGAATAAGAGCTGGCGTAGAAACTTGAGGCGACGAGTAAATCGAACATAGAATAAATCGAACATAGAATAGAAACGCTGAGACGGCGCACAATGCAACACAGAATAAGAGCTGTGAAACTTGAGTAGGCGACAGTAAATCGAATATAGAATGATAGCGGTGAAAACGCCGGAGACGGCGCACAATAAGAGCTGTAAAAACTACAGAATAAGAGATGAAGGTAGAAACGCCGGAGGCGATACAGTAAATCGTTGCATAGAGCCATAAACCTGGAGGCGACAGAAACGAACGGAGAAACGCATGCACAATGCAACACAGAATAAGAGCTGTAGAAACCTGAGGCGACAGTAAATCGAACATAGAACATAGTTGGGAAAACGCCGGAGACGGCGCACAATGCAACACAGAACAAGAGCTGTAGAAACTTGAGGCGACAGTAAATCGAACATAGAATGATAGCTGTAGAAACGACGGAGACGGCGCAATGCAAACACAGAATAAGAGCTGCAGAAAACTTGGAGGCGACAGTAAATCGAACATAGAATGATAAAGGTAGAAACGCCGGAGACGGCGCAATGCAATACAGAATAAGAGCCAGAAACTTGGAGGCGACAGTAAATCGAATATAGAATGATAGCTGTAGAAACGCTGAACGGGTACACAATGCAACACAGAATAAGAGCCAGAAAACTTGAGGCGACAGTAAATCGAATATAGAATGATAGGCTGTAGAAACGCCGAGACGGCGCACAATGCAACACACAGAATAAGAGCTGTAGAAACTTGGAGGCGACAGTAAATCGAACATAGAATGATATGTAGGAAACGCCGGAGACGGCAATAATGCAACACAGAATAAGAGCTAGAAACTCTGGAGGCGACAGTAAATCCGAACATAGAATGATAGCTGTAAACACGCCGGAGACGGCGCACAATGCAACACAGAATAAGAGCTGTAAAACTCTGGCAGGCGATGATAAATGAATAATATAGAAGACGATAACAATAGAAACGCCGGAACGGCGCACAATGCAACACAGAATAAGAGCTGTAGAAACTCTGGAGGCGACAGTAAATCGAACATAGAATGATGGCTGTAGAAACGCCGGGCGGCGCACAATGCAACACAGAATAAGAGCTGTGAAACTCTGGAGGCGACAGTAAATCGAACAGAATGGCTGTAGAAACGCCGGAGACGGCGCACAATGCAACCTGAGAATAAGAGCTGTAGAAACTCTGGAGGCGACAGTAAATCGAACATAGAATGATAGCGGGTAGAAACGCCGGAATAAGGCGCACAATCTGGGCGAATAAATCGAATAAGAATGCCGTAGAACCTGGGACAGTAAATCGAAATAGAATGATACTCAGGCGACGAAATCGCCGAGATGGCGCACAAAACGCCGGAGACGTCAGAATAAGAGCTGTAGAAACTCTGGAGGCGACAGTAAATCGAAATCATAGAATGATAGCTGGCATAAACGCCGGAGACGGCGCACAATGCAACACAGAATAAGAGCTGTAGAAACTCTGGAGGCGACAGTAAAAATCGAACATAGAATGATAGCTGTAGAAACGACGGAGACGGCGCACAATGCAACACAGAATAACAAGAGCTGTAGAAACCTGAGGCGACAGTAACCTAACATAGAATGATAGCTGTAGAAACTCTGAGACGGCGACAACACAGAATAAATCGAACATAGGCGAATGATAACTGTAGAATGATAGCCGGAACGACGACGGCGCACAATGCAACACAGAATAAGAGCTGTAGAAACTCTGGAGGCGACAGTAAATCGAACATAGAATGATAGCTGTGAAACGCCGGAGACGGCACACAATGCAACACAGAATAAGAGCTGTAGAAACCTGGAGGCGACAGTAATCGAACATAGAATGATAGCGCTGGTAGAAACGCCGGAGACGGCGCAATAATGCAACACAGAATAAGAGCTGTAGAAACTCTGGGGCGACAGTAAATCGAACATAGATAATAGCTATGTAGAACGCCGGAGATCATGCAAAATGCAACACAGAACAAGAGCTGTAGAGAAACTCTGGAGGCGACAGTAAATCGAACATAGAATACGGCTATTGAACGCCGGAGACGGCGCACAATGCAAATACAGAATGAGAGGCAGAAACTCTGGAGGCGACAGTAAATCGAACATAGAATAATAGCTGTAGAAACGCCGGAGACGGCGCACAATCGCAACACAGAATAAAGGCTGTAAAACTCTGGAGGCGACAGTAAATCGAACATAGAATAATAGTTGCAGAAACGCCGGAGACGGCGCACAATGCAACACAGAATAAAGTGCAAGAAACCTGGAGGCGACAGTAAATCGAACATAGAATGATGGCTGTGAAACGCCGGAGACGGCGCTATGCAACACACAGAATAAGAGCTGTAGAAACTCTGAGGCGACAGTAAATCGAATATGAATGATACGGTGGCTGTAGAAACCTGGAGGCGGAAATCGACATAGAATGATAGTTTTAAAACGCCGGAGACGGCGCACAATGCAACACAGAAAAAGAGCTGTAGAAACTCTGGAGGCGACAGTAACCGAACATAGAATAATAGCTGTAGAAAACGCCGGAGACGGCGCACAATGCAACACAGAATAAGAGCTGTGCAGAAACTCGAGGCGACAGTAAATCGAACATAGAATGATAGCTGTAGAAACGACGGAGACGGTGCACAATGCATCACAGAATAAGAGCTGTGCAACTCTCTGGGCGACGGTAAATCGAACATGGAATGATAAGGTAGAAACGCCGGAGACGGCGCACAATGCAACACAGAATAAGAGCTGTAGAAACTCTGGGCGACAGTAAATCGAATATAGAATGATGGCTGTAGAAAACGACGGAGACGGCGCACAATGCAACACACAGAATAAGAGCTGGCAGAAACTCTGGGAGGCAGTAAAATCGAACATAGAATTATAGTTGCAGAAACGCCGGAGACGGCGCACAATGCAACACAGAATAAGAGCTGTGAAAACTCTGGAGGCGACAGTAAATCGAACATAGAATAGATAGTTGTAGAAAACGCCGGAGACTGGCACAATGCAACAATACAAAACAGGCAGAATAAGAACTGTAGAATGACTCTGGAGATGGCGACAATGCAATAAATCTGAAACATAAGGAGCAGTAAATCGAACATAGAATGATAGCTGTAGAAACGCCGGAGACGGCGCAATAATGCAACACAGAATAAGAGCTGTAGAAACTTGGAGGCGACAGTAAATCGAACATAGAATGATAGCTGTAGAAACGACGGAGACGGCGCACAATGCAACACAGAATAAGAGCTGTAGAAACCTGGAGGCGACAGTGCAAATATAGAATGATAGAATGAATGCAACATAGCTGTAGAAACGGAGGCGACGGAGACGGAAACGCACAATGCAACACAGAATAAGAGCTGTAGAAAACTCTGAGGCGACAGTAAATCGAACATAGAATGATAGTTGTAGAAACGCTGAGACGGCGCACAATGCGACACAGAATAAGAGCTGTAGAAAACTCTGGAGGCGACAGTAAATCGAACATAGAATGATAGCTGCCGTAGAAAACGCCGGAGACGGCGCACAATGCAACACAGAATAAGAGCTGTAGAAACTCTGGAGGCGACAGTAAATCGAACATAGAATGATAACAGAGAAACGCCGGAGACGGCGCACAATACAACACAGAATAAGAGAGCTGCCAGAAACTCTGGAGGCGACAGTAAATCGAACATAGAATAATAGCTGGCAGAAACGCCGGAGACGGCGCACAATGCAACACAGAATAAGAGCTGTAGAAACTCTGGAGAGGCGACAGTAAATCGAACATAGAATAACTGGAAAACGCTGGAGACGGTACACAATGCAACACAGAATAAGAGCTGTAGAAACTCTGGAGGCGACAGTAAATCGAACATAGAATGATAGCTGAAAACGCCGGAGACGGCGCACAATGCAAATACAGAATAAGAGCGAGAAACTCTGGAGGCGACAGTAAATCGGAACATAGAATGAGAGCTGTAGAAAACGCCGGAGACGGCGCACAATACAACACAGAATAAAGCCTGTAGAAACTCTGGGCGACAGTAAATCGAAATAGAATGATGGCTGTAGAAACGCCGGAGACGGCGCACACAATGCAACACAGAATAAGAGCTGGCAAAACTCTGGGCGACAGTAGTAAATCGAACATAGAATGATAATAGCTGTAGAAACGCCGGAGACGGCGCACAATGCAACACAGAATAAGAGCTGTAGAAACTCTGGAGGCGACAGTAAATCGAACATAGAATGATGGCTGGCCAGAAACGACGGAGACGGCACAATGCAACACAGAATAAGAGCTGTAGAAACTCTGGAGGCGACAGTAAATCGAACATAGAATGATAGCTGTAGAAACGACGGAGACGGCGCACATGCAACACAGAATAAGAGCTGTAGAAACTCTGGAGGCGACAGTAAATCGAACATAGAATGATAGCTGTAGAAACGACGAGACGGCGCACAATGCAACACAGAATAAAAACATGCAGAAAACTCTGGAGGCGACAGTAAATCGAACATAGAATAAAACGCTGGCAAAACAGAATAAGAGAGAACCTGGAGGCGACAGTAACACAGAATAAGAGCTGTGAAAGCTCTGGAGGCGACAGTAAATCGAACATAGAATGATAGCTGTGAAACGCCGGAGACGGCACAATGCAAATACAGAATAAGAGTTGTGAAACTCTGGAGGCGAAATCGAGTAAATCGTAAAACGATAGAATAATAGCAGTAACTGAAACGCGAACATAGAATGATAGGAAACGGCGCACACAATGCAACACAGAATAAGAGCTGTGAAACTCCGGGAGGCGACGGTAAATCGAACATAGAATGATGGCTGTAGAAACGCCGCCGGAGACGGCGCACAATGCAACACCCAGAATAAGAGCTGGCAAACTCTGGAGGCGACAATGGAAATCGAACATAGAATAATGAAGGTAGAAACGCCGGAGACGGCACACAATGCAAACATGCAGCATAAGAGCCAGAAACTCTGGAGGCGACAGTAAATCGAACAAGAATGATAGCTGTAGAAACGCGGAACGGCACACAATGCAACACAGAATAGGCTGTAGAAACTCTGGAGGCGACAGTAAATCGAACATAGAATGATAGCTGTGTAAAACGCCGGAGACGGCGCACAATGCAACACAGAATAAGGCTGTAGAAACTCTGGAGGCGACGAGTAAATCGAACATAGAATGATAGCTGTAGAAACGACGGAGACGGCGCACTGATAAACACAGAATAAGAGCTGTAGAAACTCTGGAGGCGACGGTAAATCGAACATAGAATGATAGCTGGCCAGAAACGCCGGAGACGGCGCACAATGCAACACAGAATAAGAGCTGTAGAAACTGGAGGCGACAGTAAATCGAACATAGAATGATAGCTGTAGAAACGCTGGAACGGCGCACAATGCAACACAGAATAAGAGCTGTAGACAAAATCGAATATAGAATGAGGCGAAACGCAGACGGCGCACAATGCAACACATAATGAAGAGCGCCGGAGACGGCACAATGCAACACAGAAAAAGAGCTCTGTGGAGGCGACAGTAAATCGAACATAGAATGATAGCTGTAGAAAACGGAGACGGCGGAGACGGCACGACAGTGCAACACAGAATAAGAATAAGAGCTGTAGAAACTCTGGAGGCGACAGTAAATCGAACATAGAATGATAGCTGTAGAAACGCTGGAAACGGTAAACGCCGGAGACGGCGCACAATGAACAACACAGAATAAGAGCTGTAGAAACTCTGGAGGCGACAGTAAATCGAACAGACGGCGCACAATAACACAGAATGATAGCTCTGGAGGCGACAGTAAATCGAAACGAATGATATGTAGAAACCGGAGACGGCGCACAATGCAACACAGAATAAGAGCTGTAGAAACTCTGAGGCGATAGTAAACGAACATAGAATGATAGTCTGCAACACAGAATAAGAGCGACAGGCGATACAGTAAATCGAACATAGAATGATAGCTGGCCAAAACGCCGGAAACGGCGTACACAATGCAAAGACAGAATAAGAGCTGTAGAAACTCTGGAGGCGACAGTAAATCGAAACAGACGGCGCATAGAATGATAGAAACTTGGAGTAGAAATGACGGAGACGGCGCACAATGCAACACAGAATAAGAGCTGTAGAAACTCTGGAGGCGACAGTAAATCGAACATAGAATGATATGTAAACGGCTGCACACAAGAAACGACGGAGACGACAGCACAATGCAAATACAGAATAAGAGCTGTAGAAACGCCGAGGCATTGACAGAAACTTCCGAAATCGAATCATAGAATGATAGCTGTAGAAAACGCCGGAGACGCGCACAATGCAACACAGAATAAGAGCTGTAGAAACTCTGGAGGCGACAGTAAATCGAACATAGAATGATAGTTGTAGAAACGCCGGAGAGACGGCGCACAATGCAAATACAGAATAAGAGCTGTAGAACTCTGGAGGCGAGGTAATCGAACATAGAATGATAGCAACAGAAAACGCCGGAAACGGCACAAATGCAACACAGAATAAGAGCTGTAGAAACTCTGGAGGCGGACAGTAAATCGAACATAGAATGATATTCGCAGAAACGCCGGAGACGGCACACAATGCAACACAGAATAAGAGCTGTAGAAACTCTGGAATGGCGACAGTAAAATAAGAGCGAACATAGAATGAATAGCTGTAGAAACGACGGAGACGGCGCACAATGCAACACAGAATAAGAGCTGTAGAAACTCTGGAGGCGACAGTAAATCGAACATAGAATGATAGCTGTAGAAATGATGAACACAGAATAAGAGCTGTAGAAACTCTGGAACATAGAATGACAGAAACGCCGCAACGGCATCGCAACACAGAATAAGAGCTGTAGAAACCCGGAGGCGACAGTAAATCGAACATAGAATGATATCAGAAAACGCTGAGACGGCGCACAATGCAAACAGAATAAGAGCTAGAAACTCTGGAGGCGACAGTAAATCGAACATAGAATGATAAAAACGCCGAGACGGCGCACAATGCAACACAGAATAAGAGCTGTAGAAACTCTGAGGCGACAGTAAATCGAACATAGAATGATAGCATAAAACGCCGGAGACGGCGCACAATGCAACACAGAATAAGAGCTGTAGAAACCTGGAGGCGACAGTAAATCGAACATAGAATGATAGCTGTAAAATGCCGGAGACGGCGCACAATGCAACACATGAATAAGAGCTGTAGAAACTGTGGAGGCGACAGTAAATCGAACATGAATGATATGTAAAAACGCCGGAAACGGCAATAAAATGCAACACAGAATAAGAGCTGTAGAAACTCCTGGAGGCGACAGTAAATCGAACATAGAATGATAGCTGTAAAACGCCGGAGACGGCGTACAATGCAACACAGAATAAGAGCTGTAGAAACTCTGGAGGCGACAGTAAATCGAACATAGAATGATAGCTGTAAAAACGCCGGAGACGGCGCACAATGCAGAATAAGAGCCAGAAACTCTGGAGGCGACAGTAAATCGAACATAGAATGATAGCTGGAAAACGCCGGAGACGGCGCACAATGCAACACAGAATAAGAGCTGTAGAAACTCTGGAGGCGACAGTAAATCGAACATAGAATGATAGCTGTAGAAACGCCGGAGACGGCGCACAATGCAAATACAGAATAAGAGCTGTAGAAACTCTGAGGCGACAGTAAATCGAACATAGAATGATAGCTGTAGAAACGCCGGAGACGGCGCAAATGCAACACAGAATAAGAGCTGTGTGAAAACTCTGGAGGCGACAGTAAATCGAACATAGAATGATAGCTGTAAAAACGCCGGAGACGGCGCACAATGCAACACAGAATAAGAGCTGTAGAAACTCTGGAGGCGACAGTAAATCGAACATAGAATGATAGCTGTAAAACGCCGGAGACGGCGCACAATGCAACACACAGAAGAGCTGTGGAAACTCTGGGCGACAGTAAATCGAACATAGAATGATAGCTGTAGAAACGACGGAGACGGCGCACAATGCAACTTACAGAATAAGAGCTGTAGAAATCTGGGAGGCGACAGTAAATCCGAACATAGAATGATAGCTGTAGAAACGCCGGAGACGGCGTAATGCTACAGAATAAGAGCTTAGAAACTCTGGAGGCGACAGTAAATCGAACATAGAATGATAGCTGTAGAAACGACGGAGACGGCGCACAATGCAAACACAGAATAAGAGCTGTAGAAACTCTGAGGCGACAGTAAATCGAACATAGAATGATAGCTGTAGAAACGCCGGAGACGGCGCACAATGCAACACAGAATAAGAGCTGGCAAAACTCTGGAGGCGACAGTAAATCGAACATAGAATGATAGTTGCCAGAAACGGAAAATGCAACACAGAATAAGAGCTGTAGAAAACTCTGGAGGCGACAGTAAATCGAACATAGAATGAAGAAACGCCGGAGACGGCGCAAATGCAACACAGAATAAGAGCTGTAGAAACTCTGACAGTAAATCGAACATAGAATGATAGCTGTAGAAAACGACGGAGACGGCGCACAAACGCAACCTGAGAATAAGAGCTGTAGAAACTCTGGAGGCGACAGTAAATCGAACATAGAATGATAGCTGTAGAAACGACCGGAGACGGCGCACAATGCGAACACACAGAATAAGAGCTGTAGAAACTCTGGAGGCGACAGTAAATCGAACATAGAATGATAGCTGTAGAAACGACGAGACGGCGCAATAATGCAACACAGAATAAGAGCTGTAGAAACTCTGGAGGCGACAGTAAATCGAACATAGAATGATAGCTGTAGAAACGCCGGAGACGGCGCACAATGCAACACAGAATAAGAGCTGTAGAAACTCTGAGGCGACAGTAAATCGAACATAGAATGATAGTTGTAGAAAACGCCGGAGACGGCGCACAATGCAACACAGAATAGAGCCAGAAACTCTGGAGGCGACAGTAAATCGAACATAGAATGATAGCAGAAACGCCGGAGACGGCGCACAATGCAACACAGAATAAGAGCAGAAACCTGGAGGCGACAGTAACCTGAACAGAATGATAGCCTGTAGAAACGACGGAGACGGCGCACAATGCAACACAGAATAAGAGCTGTAGAAACCTCGACAGTGAACACAGAATGATAGCTGTAAAACGCCGGAGACGGCGCACAATGCAACACAGAATAAGAGCTGGAAACCTGGAGGCGACAGTAAATCGAACATAGAATGATAGTTGAAACGACGGAGACGGCGCACAATGCAACACAGAATAAGAGCTGGCAAAACTCTGGAGGCGACCCAAATCGAACATAGAATGATAGCTGTAAACGCCGGAGACGGCACGCAACACAGAATAAGAGCTGTAGAAACTCTGGAGGCGACAGTAAATCGAACATAGAATGATATTGTAGAAACGCCGGAGACGGCGCACAATGCAAATACAGAATAAGAGCTGTAGAAACTCTGGAGGCGACAGTAAATCGAACAGAATGATAGCGGTGAAACGCCGGAGACGGCGCGCCAATGCAAACAGAATAAGAGCTGTAGAAACTCTGGAGGCGACAGTAAATCGAACATAGAATGATAGCTGTAGAAACGACGGAGACGGCGCACAATGCAAACACAGAATAAGAGCTGTAGAAACTCTGGAGGCGACAGTAAATCGAACATAGAATGATAGCTGTAGAAACGCCGGAGACGGCGCACAATGCAAACACAGAATAAAAAATGTAGAAAACTCTGGAGGCGACAGTAAATCGAACATAGAATGATAGCCAGAAACGCCGGAGACGGCACACAATGCAACACAGAATAAGAGCTAAGAAACCTGGAGGCGACAGTAAATCGAACATAGAATGATAGCTGTAGAAACGCCGGAGACGGCGCACAATGCAAACACAGAATAAGAGCTGTAGAAACTCTGGAGGCGACAGTAAATCGAACATAGAATGATAGCTGTAAATAATGCCAGAATAAGAGCCAGAAACGGAGGCGCACAACATGAATGATAGGTTGTGAAACGCCGGAACGGCGCACAAATCACAGAATAAGAGCTGTGAAACTGGAGGCGACAGTAAATCGAACATAGAATGATAGCTGTAAAACGCCGGAGACGGCGCAAATGCAAATACAGAATAAGAGCTGTAGAAACTCTGGGCGACAGTAAAATCGAACATAGAATGATATCGCCGGAGACGGCGAACAATGCAAACAGAATAAGAGCCGGAGGCGACAGGAATATAGAATGATAGCTGTAGAACGCCGAGACGGCACAATGCAAACACAGAATAAGAGCTGTAGAAACTCTGAGGCGACAGTAAATCGAACATAGAATGATAGCTGTAGAAACGACGGAGACGGCGCACAATGCAACACAGAATAAGAGCTGTAGAAACCTGGAGGCGACAGTAAATCGAATATAGAATGATAGGTGTAGAAACGCCGGAGACGGCACAATGCAACACAGAATAAGAGCTGTAGAAACTCTGAGGCGACAGTAAATCGAACAGGGAGAAGGATGAAGCTGTAGAAACGCCGGAGACGGCGAACAATGCAAATGGACAATAAGAGCTGTAGAAACTCTGGAGGCGACAGTAAATCGAACATAGAATGATAGCAGAAACGCCGGAGACGGCACAATGCAACACAGAATAAGAGCTGTAGAAACTCTGGAGGCGACAGTAAAATCGAACATAGAATGATAGAAGGTAGAAACGCCGGAGACGGCGCACAATGCAAAGACAGAATAGAAGCTGGCAAAACTCTGAGCACAGTAAATCGAACATAGAAATGGCTGTAGAAACGCCGGAGACGGCGCACAATGCAAATACAGAATAAGAGCGACAGTAAATCGAACATAGAATGATAGCGTAAAAACGCCGGAGACGGCGAACAATGCAACACAGAATAAGAGCTGTAGAAACTCTGGAGGCGACAAAATCGAACATAGAATGATGGGGGTAGAAACGCCGGAGACGGCGAACAATGCAACACAGAAATAAGAGCTGTAGAAACTCTGGAGGCGACAGTAAATCGAACATAGAATGATAGGCTGTGAAAACGACGGAGACGGCGCACAATGCAAATTGGCAGAATAAGAGCTGTAGAAACTCTGGGAGGCGACAGTAAATCGAACATAGAATGATAGGTAAAAACGAAACGCCGGAGACGGCGCACAATGCAACACAGAATAAGAGCTGTAGAAACTCTGGAGGCGATAAATCGAACATAGAAGGATAGCTGTAGAAAACGCCGAGACGGCGCACAATGCAACACAGAATAAGAGCTGTAGAACCTCTGGGCGACAGTAAATCGAACATAGAATGATAGCTGGCGAAACGCCGGAGACGGCGCACAATGCAACACAGAATAAGAGCTGTAGAAACTCTGGAGGCGGGTAGTAAATCGAACATAGAATGATAGCTGTGAAACGCCGGAGACGGCGCACAATGCAACACAGAATAAGAGCTGTAGAAACTCGGCTGGACAGTAAATCGAACATAGAATGATAGCTGCAGAAACGCCGGAGACGGCGCACAATGCAACACAGAATAAGAGCTGTAGAAAACTCTGGAGGCGACAGTAAATCGAACATAGAATGATAGTTGTAGAAACGCCGGAGACGGCGAACAATGCAACACAGAATAAGAGCTGTAGAACTCTGGAGGCGACAGTAAATCGAACATAGAATGATAGCTGTAGAAACGCCGGAGACGGCGCAAATGCAACACAGAATAAGAGCTGTAGAAACTCTGGAGGCGACGGTAAATCGAACATAGAATGATAGCTGTAGAAAACGCCGGAGACGGCGCACAATGCAAAGACAGAATAAGAGCTGTAGAAACTGGAGGCGACAGTAAATCGAACATAGAATGATAGTTGCAAAACGCCGGAGACGGCGCACAATGCAACACAGAATAAGAGCTGGAAACCCGGAGGCGACAGTAAATCGAACATAGAATGATAGCTGTAGAAACGCCGGAGACGGCGCACAATGCAACAGAATAAGAGCTGTAGAAACTCTGGAGGCGACAGTAAATCGAACATAGAATGATAGCTGGCAAAACGCGCGGAGACGGCGGCCAATGCAACACAGAATAAGAGCTGTAGAAACTCTGGAGGCGACAGTAAATCGAACATAGAATGATATGTAGAAACGCCGGAGACGGCGCACAATGCAAATACAGAATAAGAGCTGTAGAAACTTGGAGGCGACAGTAAATCGAACATAGAATGATAGGCGTAGAAACGCCGGAGACGGCGCACAATGCAACACAGAATAAGAGCCAGTAAAACTCTGTAGGCGACAGAAATCGAACATAGAATGATAGCTGTAGAAACGCCGGAGACGGCGAACAATGCAACACAGAATAAGAGCTGTAGAAACTCTGGAGGCGACAGTAAATCGAACATAGAATGATAGCTGTAGAAACGCCGGAGACGGCGCAATAATGCAACACAGAATAAGAGCTGTAGAAAACTCTGGAGGCGACAGTAAATCGAAACATAGAATGATAGGTTGTAAAACGCCGGACGGCGCACAATGCAACACAGAATAAGAGCTGTAGAAACTCTGGAGGCGACAGTAAATCGAACATAGAATGATAGCTGGCCAAACGCTGGAGACGGCGCACAATGCAACACAGAATAAGAGCTGTAGAAACCTGGAGGCGACAGTAAATCGAACATAGAATGATAGCTGTAGAAACGCCGGAGACGGCGCAATGCAAAGACAGAATGAGCAAAAACAGGCGACAGAAATAAGAATGATAGCCAGTAGAAACGCCGGAGACGGCTGGAGGCGACAGTAAAATCGAACATAGAATGATAGCTGTAGAAAACGACGGAGACGGCGCACAATGCAAATACAGAATAAGAGCTGATAGCTAGAAACCGGAGACGGCGCACAATGGAGGCGAAACTCTGGGCGACAGTAAATCGAACATAGAATGATAGCTGTAGAAACGCCGGAGACGGCACAATGCAACACAGAATAAGAGCTGAAAACTCTGAGGCGACAGTAAATCGAACATAGAATGATAGCTGTAAAAACGCCGGAGACGGCGCACAATGCAACACAGAATAAGAGCATAGAATAGAAACGACTGGAGGCGACAGTAAATCGAACATAGAATGATGAGCTGTAGAAACGCCGAGACGGCGCACAATGCAACACAGAATAAGAGCTGTAGAAACTCTGGAGGCGACAGTAAATCGAACATAGAATGATAGCTGTAGAAACGCCGGAGACGGAATGATAGCGCAAAACGCGGAAACACAGAATAAGAGCTGTAGAAACTCTGGAGGCGACATGCAGTAAATCGAACATAGAATGATAGCTGTAGAAACGCCGGAGACGGCGCACAATGCAACACAGAATAAGAGCTGTAGAAACTCTGGAGGCGACAGTAAATCGAACATAGAATGATAAGAGCTGTAGAAACGCCGGAGACGGCGCACAATGCAACACAGAATAAGAGCTGTACAAGAAACCTGGAGGCGAAAATCGAACATAGAATGATAGCTAAAACGCCGAGACGGCGACAATGCAACACAGAATAAGAGCTGTAGAAACTCTGAATGAACATAGCTGTAGAAACGCCGGAGAAAAAAATAAGCGCCGGAGACGGAACATAGAATGATGGCTATTAGAAATGCAACACAGAATAAGAGCTGTAGAAACTCTGGAGGCGACAGTAAATCGAACATAGAATGATAGCTGTAAAACGCCGGAGACGGCGCACAATGCAACACAGAATAAGAGCTGTAGAAACTCTGGAGGCGACAGTAAATCGAACATAGAATGATACAGAAACGCCGGAGACGGCGCACAATGCAACACAGAATAAGAGCTGTAGAAACTCTGGAGGCGACAGTAAATCGAACATAGAATGATAGCTGTAGAAACGCCGGAGACGGCGCACAATGCAACACAGAATAAGAGCTGTAGAAACTCTGGAGGCGACAGTAAATCGAACATAGAATGATAGCTGTAGAAACGCCGGAGACGGCGCACAATGCAACACAGAATAAGAGCTGTAGAAACTCTGGAGGCGACAGTAAAATCGAACATAGAATGATAGCGAAAAACGCAGACGGCGCAAATACAACACAGAATAAGAGCTGTAGAAATGATAGCTAGAATGATAGAAACGCCGGAGACGGCGCACAATGCAACACAGAATAAGAGCACAGAATAAGAGCATGAATGATAGCTGAAAACTCCGGAGGCGAACACAGAATAAATCGAAACTCTGGATAGAATGAACATAGAATGATAGAAACGCCGGAGACGGCGCACAATGCAACACAGAATAAGAGCTGTAGAAACTCTGGAGGCGACAGTAAATCGAACATAGAATGATAGCTGTAAAACGCCGGAGACGGCGCACAATGCAACACAGAATAAGAGCTGTAGAAACTCTGAGGCGACAGTAAATCGAACATAGAATGATAGCTGTAGAAACGCCGGAGACGGCGCACAATGCAACACAGAATAAGAGCTGTAGAAACTCTGGAGGCGACAGTAAATCGAACATAGAATGATAGCTGTAGAAAACGCCGGAGACGGCACAATGCAACACAGAATAAGAGCTGTAGAAACTCTGGAGGCGACAGTAAATCGAACATAGAATGATAGCTGTAGAAACGCCGGAGACGGCGCACAATGCAACACAGAATAAGAGCTGTAGAAACTCTGGAGGCGACAGTAAATCGAACATAGAATGATAGCTGTAGAAACGCCGGAGACGGCGCACAAATAAGCAACACACAGAATAAGAGCTGTAGAAACTCTGGAGGCGACAGTAAATCGAACATAGAATGATAGCTGTAAACGCCGGACGGCGCAATACCGCAACACAGAATAAGAGCTGTAAAACTCTGGAGGCGACAGTAAATCGAACATAGAATGATGGCTGTAGAAACGACGGAGACGGCGCACAATGCAACACAGAATAAGAGCTGTAGAAACTCTGGAGGCGACAGTAAATCGAACATAGAATGATAGCTGTAAAAACGCCGGAGACGGCGCACAATGCAACACAGAATAAGAGCTGTAGAAACTCTGGAGGCGACAGAATAAATCGAACATAGAATGATAGCTGTAGAAACGCCGGAGACGGCGAACAATGCAACACAGAATAAGAGCTGTAGAAACTCTGGAGGCGACAGTAAATCGAACATAGAATGATAGCTGTAGAAACGCCGGAGACGGCGCACAATGCAAACACAGAATAAGAGCTGTAGAAACTCTGGAGGCGACAGTAAATCGAACATAGAAGAATGATAGCTGTAGAAACGCCGGAGACGGCGCACAATGCAACACAGAATAAGAGCTGAAACTCTGGAGGCGACAAAATCGAACATAGAATGATGAGACGCCGGAGACGGCGCACAATGCAACACAGAATAAGAGCTGTAGAAACTCTGGAGGCGACAGTAAATCGAACATAGAATGAATGATGGCTGTAGAAACGCCGGAGACGGCGCACAATGCAACACAGAATAAGAGCTGTAGAAACTCTGAGGCGACAGTAAATCGAACATAGAATGATAGCTGTAAAAACGCCGGAGACGGCGCACAATGCAACACAGAATAAGAGCTGTAAAACTCTGAGGCGACAGTAAATCGAACATAGAATGATGGCTGAAAAAACGCCGGAGACGGCGCACAATGCAACACAGAATAAGAGCTGTAGAAACTCTGGAGGCGACAGTAAATCGAACATAGAATGATAAGAAACGCACAACTCTGGGCGACAGTAAATCGAACAGAATATGGCTGTAGAAACGCCGGAGACGGCGCACAATGCAACACAGAATAAGAGCTGTAGAAACTCTGGAGGCGACAGTAAATCGAACATAGAATGATAGCTGTAGAAACGCCGGAGACGGCGCACAATGCAACACAGAATAAGAGCTGTAGAAACTCTGGAGGCGACAGTAAATCGAACATAGAATGATAGCTGCGACGCCGGAGACGGCGCACAATGCAACACAGAATAAGAGCTGTGCAAAAACTCTGGAGGCGACGATAAATCGAACATACAATGTGGAATCTGATGATGGCTGTAGAAACGCCGGAGACGGCGCACAATGCAACACAGAATAAGAGCTGTAGAAACTCTGGAGGCGACAGTAAATCGAACATAGAATGATAGCTGTAGAAACGACGACAGAAATCGAACATAGGCGCGCCGGACAAATGCAACACAGAATAAGAGCTGTAGAAACTCTGGAGGCGACAGTAAATCGAACATAGAATGATAGGCTGTAGAAACGCCGGAGACGGCGCAACACAGAATAAGAGCTGTAGAAACTCTGGGCGACAGTAAATCGAACATAGAATGATAGCTGTGAAACGCCGGAGACGGCGCAATGCAAATACAGAATAAGAGCTGTAGAAAACTCTGGGCGACAGTAAATCGAACATAGAATGATAGCTGTAGAAAACGCCGGAGACGGCGCACAATGCAACACAGAATAAGAGCTGTAGAAACTCTGGAGGCGACAGTAAATCGAACATAGAATGATAGCTGTAGAAACGCCGGAGACGGCGCACAATACAAACACAGAATAAGAGCTGTAGAAACTCTGGAGGCGACAGTAATAATCGAACATAGAATGATAAGAGCTGTAGAAACTCTGGAGGCGAAAACGCCGGAGATAGCGGCGCCGGAGAATACAACACAGAATAAGAGCTGTAGAAACTCTGGAGGCGACAGTAAATCGAACATAGAATAAGATGTAGAAACTCTGAGGCGACAGTAAATCGAAACGCCGGAGACGGCGCACAATGCAACACAGAATAAGAGCTGTAGAAAACTCTGGAGGCGACGGTAAATCGAACATAGAATGATAGCTGTAGAAAACGACGGAGACGGCGCACAATGCAACACAGAATAAGAGCTGTAGAAACTCTGGAGGCGACAGTAAATCGAACATAGAATGATAGCTGTAGAAACGCCGGAGACGGCGCACAATGCAACACAGAATAAGAGCTGTAGAAACTCTGGGCGACAGTAAATCGAACATAGAATGATAGCTGTAGAAACGCCGGAGACGGCGCACAATGCAACACAGAATAAGAGCTGTAGAAACTCTGGAGGCGACAGTAAATCGAACATAGAATGATAGCTGTAGAAACGCCGGAGACGGCGCACAATGCAACACAGAATAAGAGCTGTAGAAACTCTGAGGCGACAGTAAATCGAACATAGAATGATAGCTGTAAAAACGACGGAGACGGCGCACAATGCAACACAGAATAAGAGCTGTAGAAACTCTGGAGGCGACAGTAAATCGAACATAGAATGATAGCTGTAGAAACGCCGGAGACGGCGCACAATGCAACACAGAATAAGAGCTGTGAAACTCTGGGCGACAGTAAATCGAACATAGAATGATAGCTGGCAGAAACGCCGGAGACGGCGCACAATGCAACACAGAATAAGGCTGTAGAAACTCTGGAGGCGACAGTAAATCGAACATAGAATGATGGCTGGAAACGCCGGAGACGGCGAACAATGCAACACAGAATAAGAGCTGTAGAAACTCTGGAGGCGACAGTAAATCGAACATAGAATGATAGCTGTAGAAACGCCGGAGACGGCGCACAGAATAAGAAAAACACAGAATAACATGAGATAGCTGTAGAAACGCTGGAGACGACAGCAAATCAAACATAGAATGATAAGCTCTGAAACGAACATAGAATGACGGCTGTGAAATGCCGGAACACAGAATAATAAGAGCTGTAGAAACTCTGGAGGCGACAGTAAATCGAACATAGAATGATGGCTGTAGAAACGCCGGAGACGGCGCACAATGCAACACAGAATAAGGCGACAGTAGCTGAATGATAGCTCGCCGGAGAGCAAATACAGAATAAGAGCTGTAGAAACTCTGGAGGCGACAGTAAATCGAACATAGAATGATAGCTGTAGAAACGCCGGAGACGGCGCACAATGCAACACAGAATAAGAGCTGTACAGAATAAGAGCTCTCTGGAGGCGACAGTAAATCGAACATAGAATGATGGCTGTAGAAACGCCGGAGACGGCGAACAATGCAACACAGAATAAGAGCTGTAGAAACTCTGGAGGCGACAGTAAATCGAACATAGAATGATAGCTGTAGAAACGCCGGAGACGGCGCACAATGCAACACAGAATAAGAGCTGTAGAAACTCTGGGGCGACAGTAAATCGAACATAGAATGATAGCTGTAGAAACGCCGGAGACGGCGCACAATGCAACACAGAATAAGAGCTGTAGAAACTCTGGAGGCGACAGTAAATCGAACATAGAATGATAGCTGTAGAAACGCCGGAGACGGCGCACAATGCAACACAGAATAAGAGCTGTAGAAACTCTGGAGGCGACAGTAAATCGAACATAGAATGATAGCTGTAGAAACGCCGGAGACGGCGCACAATGCAACACAGAATAAGAGCTGTAGAAACTCTGGAGGCGACAGTAAATCGAACATAGAATGATAGCTGTAGAAACGCCGGAGACGGCGCACAATGCAACACAGAATAAGAGCTGTAGAAAACTCTGGAGGCGACAGTAAATCGAACATAGAATGATAGCTGTAGAAACGCCGGAGACGGCGCACAATGCAACACAGAATAAGAGCTGTAGAAACTCTGGAGGCGACAGTAAATCGAACATAGAATGATAGCTGTAGAAACGCCGGAGACGGCGCACAATGCAACACAGAATAAGAGCTGTAGAAACTCTGGAGGCGACAGTAAATCGAACATAGAATGATAGCTGTGCAAACGCCGGAGACGGCGAACAATGCAACACAGAATAAGAGCTGTAGAAACTCTGGAGGCGACAGTAAATCGAACATAGAATGATAGCTGTAGAAACGCCGGAGACGGCGCAAATGCAACACAGAATAAGAGCTGTAGAAACTCTGGAGGCGACAGTAAATCGAACATAGAATGATAGCTGTAGAAACGCCGGAGACGGCACAATGCAACACAGAATAAGAGCTGTAGAAACTCTGGAGGCGACAGTAAATCGAACATAGAATGATGGCTGTAGAAACGCCGGAGACGGCGCACAATGCAACACAGAATAAGAGCTGTAGAAACTCTGGAGGCGACAGTAAATCGAACATAGAATGATAGCTGTAAAACGACGGAGACGGCACAATGCAACACAGAATAAGAGCTGAAACTAGGCGACAGCGAACATAGAATGATGCGCCGGAACAACAGAATAAGAGCTGTAGAAACTCTGGAGGCGACAGTAAATCGAACATAGAATGATAGCTGTAGAAACGCGGCGGAGACGGCATAGAATGATAGCTGTAGACAATGCAACACAGAATAAGAGCTGTAGAAACTCTGGAGGCGACAGTCGAACATAGAACATAGAATGATAGCTGTAGAAACGCCGGAGACGGCGCACAATGCAACACAGAATAAGAGCTGTAGAAACTCTGGAGGCGACAGTAAATCGAACATAGAATGATAGCTGTAGAAACGCCGGAGACGGCGCACAATGCAACACAGAATAAGAGCTGTAGAAACTCTGGAGGCGACAGTAAATCGAACATAGAATGATAGCTGTAAAACGCCGGAGACGGCGCACAATGCAACACACAGAATAAGAGCTGTAGAAACTCTGGAGGCGACAGTAAATCGAACATAGAATGATAGCTGTAGAAACGAGGAGACGGCGCACAATGCAACACAGAATAAGAGCTGTAGTAAAAACATCTGGAGGCGACACGGCGCAAATCGAACAGAATAAGATAGCTCTGTAAGAAACGAACATGGAATGATGGAAACGCCGCGCACAATGCAACACAGAATAAGAGCTGTAGAAACTCTGGAGGCGACAGTAAATCGAACATAGAATGATAGCTGTAGAAACGCCGGAGACGGCGCACAATGCAACACAGAATAAGAGCTGTAGAAACTCTGGAGGCGACAGTAAATCGAACATAGAATGATAGCTGTAAAAACGCCGGAGACGGCGCACAATGCAACACAGAATAAGAGCTGTAGAAACTCTGGAGGCGACAGTAAATCGAACATAGAATGATAGCTGTAGAAACGCCGGAGACGGCGCAAATGCAACACAGAATAAGAGCTGTAGAAACTCTGGAGGCGACAGTAAATCGAACATAGAATGATAGCTGTAGAAACGCCGGAGACGGCGCAACAATGCAAACACAGAATAAGAGACAGTAAATCGAACATAGAAACTAGCTGTAAAACGGAGGCGACAATGTAAATCGAACATAGAATGATAGCTGTAGAAACGCCGGAGACGGCGCACAATGCAACACAGAATAAGAGCTGTAGAAACTCTGGAGGCGACAGTAAATCGAACATAGAATGATAGCTGTAGAAACGCCGGAGACGGCGCACAATGCAACACAGAATAAGAGCTGTAGAAACTCTGGAGGCGACAGTAAATCGAACATAGAATGATAGCTGTAGAAACGCCGGAGACGGCGCACAATGCAACACAGAATAAGAGCTGTAGAAACTCTGGAGGCGACAGTAAATCGAACATAGAATGATAGCTGTAGAAACGCCGGAGACGGCGCACAATGCAACACAGAATAAGAGCTGTAGAAACTCTGGCAGAATAAGAGCTGTAGAAACTCTGGAGGCGACAGTAAATCGAACATAGAATGATAGCTGGAAACGCACAACGGCAACACACAGAATAAGAGCTGTAGAAACTCTGGAGGCGACAGTAAATCGAACATAGAATGATAGCTGTAAAAACGCCGGAGACGGCACAATGCAACACAGAATAAGAGCTGTAGAAACTCTGGAGGCGACAGTAAATCGAACATAGAATGATAGCTGTAGAAACGCCGGAGACGGCGCACAATGCAACACAGAATAAGAGCTGTAGAAACTCTGGAGGCGACAGTAAATCGAACATAGAATGATAGCTGTAGAAACGCCGGAGACGGCGCACAATGCAAATACAGAATAAGAGCTGTAGAAACTCTGAGGCGACAGTAAATCGAACATAGAATGATAGCTGTGGAAACGCCGGAGACGGCGCACAATGCAACACAGAATAAGAGCTGTAGAAACTCTGGAGGCGACAGTAAATCGAACATAGAATGATAGCTGTAAAACGCCGGAGACGGCGCACAATGCAACACAGAATAAGAGCTGTAGAAACTCTGAGGCGACAGTAAATCGAACATAGAATGATAGCTGTAAAACGCCGGAGACGGCGCACAATAAGAGCAACACAGAATAAGAGCTGTAGAAAATGATAGCTCTGGAGGCGACAGTAAATCGAACATAGAATGATAGCTGTAAAAACGCCGGAGACGGCGCACAATGCAACACAGAATAAGAGCTGTAGAAACTCTGGAGGCGACAGTAAATCGAACATAGAATGATAGCTGTAGAAACGCCGGAGACGGCGCACAATGCAACACAGAATAAGAGCTGTAAAACTCTGGAGGCGACAGTAAATCGAACATAGAATGATAGGCTGTAGAAACGCCGGAGACGGCGCAGAATAATCTGCAAATCACAGAATAAGAGCTGTAGAAAAAACTCTGGAGGCGACAGTAAATCGAACATAGAATGATAGCTGTAAAAACGCCGGAGACGGCGCACAATGCAACACAGAATAAGAGCTGTAGAAACTCTGGAGGCGACAGTAAATCGAACATAGAATGATAGCTGTAAAACGCCGGAGACGGCGCACAATGCAACACAGAATAAGAGCTGTAGAAACTCTGGAGGCGACAGTAAATCGAACATAGAATGATAGCTGTAAAACGCCGGAGACGGCGCACAATGCAACACAGAATAAGAGCTGTAGAAACTCTGGAGGCGACAGTAAATCGAACATAGAATGATAGCTGTAAAAACGCCGGAGACGGCGCACAATGCAACACAGAATAAGAGCTGTAGAAACTCTGGAGGCGACAGTAAATCGAACATAGAATGATAGCTGTAGAAACGCCGGAGACGGCGCACAATGCAACACAGAATAAGAGCTGTAGAAACTCTGGAGGCGACAGTAAATCGAACATAGAATGATAGCTGTAAAACGCCGGAGACGGCGCACAATGCAACACAGAATAAGAGCTGTAGAAACTCTGGAGGCGACAAAAATCGAACATAGAATGATAGCTGCCGGAGACGGCGACAATAACACAGAATAAGAGCGAAAACAGGCGACAGAAATCGAACATAGAATGATAGCTGTAGAAACGCCGGAGACGGCGCACAATGCAACACAGAATAAGAGCTGTAGAAACTCTGGAGGCGACAGTAAATCGAACATAGAATGATAGACGCCGGAGACGGCGCACAATGCAACACAGAATAAGAGCTGTAGAAACTCTGGAGGCGACAGTAAATCGAACATAGAATGATAGCTGCCGGAAACGAACGGAGAATAAGGCGCAACTCTGGGAGGCGACAAAATCACATAGAATGATAGCTGTAGAAAACTCTGGAGGCGACAGTAAATCGAACATAGACATCGAACATAGAATGATAGAAAACGCCGGAGACGGCGCACAATGCAACACAGAATAAGAGCTGTGAAACTGTGAGGCGAATAAATCGAACATGGAATGATAGCTGCGAAACGCCGGAGACGGCGAACAATGCAACACAGAATAAGAGCTGTAGAAACTCTGAAACAGCCGGAGACGGCGCACAATGCAACAACACAGAATAAGAGCTGTAGAAACCCCAGGAGACGAAATCTTGAAGTGTAACAAAAATGGAAGCATCTATTCTAGAATGATAGCTGAAACATTTATGTCTGTTTTTATCATTTTTGAAAAAACGTTTCCTGACAATTACCACCAATGATGAAACAAATTCTCATTTAAACACAGAATATGTCTGTTTTATCAGAGAATATGAATTAATTTATCATTTTGAAACAGTCTGTCTGTAATAAACTCGTATCTCACTTATATACGTCTGTCTTTCTTTCTCTCACACTATCCCTCTCTATATATATATATATATATATATATATATATATATATATATATATATATATATATATATATAATTAATCTGGAGGAGTTTATCCCTTAGCTGAGTGATGTTGGTTCAGTCATGCCTACTACGTAGTTTCGTGAGCACATCAAGATAACATGTTCACTAATCAGGGCTTGTTTTCTTCTCTTCTCTATCTCTCTCTCTGTCTGTCTGTCTGTCTCTCTCTCTCTCTCTCTCTCTATATATATATATATATATATATATTGTGTGTGTGTTTCTTTATTTCTCACAACACTCACACAAACACGCAAACACATGCACACACACATATGTGCTATTCGAAAAAAGAAAAACTAATTCACATAACATAGTAACAGGAGTAAATATGTTCGCCTATCATCCGGTTCAGACTCCTCCCCGGTCTTTTGAACAGGAGCAGAGATTTATCCCTTGTTTTCTGTTTAGGATTGGGTATATGGTTCCTTCTAAAGTCTTTTTCATTCTCGTTTTCTCCCAGTAGCCCCTTGCATCTTAGTAGCATTATTGCTTTGCTTGGGATGAACTGATTAAAAATATTTTCTACTTTCCTGTTATTTATTATCATGCTAGACTGGAGTAGAGGTTTATCCATTGTTTCTTATTTAGGATTGGGTTTCCAGTTCCTTCTAAAGTTTTTTCTTTGTCTCTCACTCCCAGTAACCTCTTGCGTCTTAGTGGCATTATCGCCTTGCTTGGAGTGAATTCATTTAAAAAACAAACATCGTTGGGGCCAACGTGGCAGGATAAAGCACATTATTCTTCTTTACTAAGAAAATGGCTGGCGCATATGCAGGCACACACACAAACACATTGAAAAGTGTACACATTGTATATGTATACACACAAAGATGAGAATCGATTTATTGCGTGAAAACTTTACGGCAAAGTAGTGTCACTTCATTATTTCTATGTTATAAACACAAAGACTGATAGATAGATAGATAGATAGTAATGGTAATTGTTTCTTTATAGGGAAACATTCAACCTTCATTAACCAAGCAGCCAATACTACTTTTAGTTAAAATTTATAAAATATTACTATTAGAATAATTTTTCAGAAAAATACCCTTCTCGAGTTCACTGACTATTATCGCCCTTGCCGGTACTGATGGCGGGGGGCATGGAGTAATGGATAGCGGCTTGGATTGAGGAATCGGAGAGCCGAGTTCGAATTCCAGTCGAATCCATTACATTCACTTACGTGCTAATAACCTTGGGAAAGGTGTGAATCCACTTTCTTCTCCCTCCAGCTATGGATAAGTAGCAGGACAGACTGGGTTCTATAGCCTTGGATGGCAACTGGTCTAAGAGAAGGAAAACTCTGAATTCAAACCTGCTCTTAGAGGAGGGTGAATGAAGTCTCTCTGAGCCTTGGTTGGCAATCCATTTAGTGTTGGTGTCACGATAAAAATACCCTTGATACCCCTAGCGAAGCATCAAGAATTCAGCTATTTGACAAGATTGTGAACTACACCAATCAAAGTATTGGTGAGTTCAATCTCGGCTGAGGCCGCAAGATGATACTGATGGCGGTTTCCTTCCTAAACTTTTGCTCGAAGTCTAGTGGAATGTCAGCCACATGATTATGGCATTATTTCTCTTCGAATTACATGTGCTATCCGGTATTGTTACTGTTCTTGGGTTCTGATTCTGTAGTGCCAATTCACAAGGTTAGAAGATGGTCCTCACTAAGACGTACAGAATTCATTTGCTCGAAACCATTTTCAACGATAGATAGATAGATAGGTAGGACAGGGCAGCCTGAGATAATAAATATGAAAATACCAGAATAGGGAGAGAAAGAGATAGTGAGAGAGAGAGAGAGAGAGTGGGGGGGAGGAAAGAAGTATGAAGGGAAGACAGACATATACATGCATATTTCTGATATGTCTATTTTTTATGTTTCGTCTATTGTTGAACATGTTTTTCGCACAAATAACAAATGATCAACCTCATGAACAATAAACAACCGGGATTAAATTATGTTAATATCATAGACTTTTTCGTTGCGACTTTTGAGCTCAAATTTAAAGTTAAAAAAAATGCATAATGGATGGAAACACTTAATCAAATATTTTATATATATTTTTTTATTTCATTTTTATTTCGTAAGTTAATGGCTTCATGGTTTCGTCACATTATTCAACTAGCAATAAAGTGGTTTCCTCTTTCTACGAACATTTCCATTGATGATTCATGACGACGACGTTTTTGCCGAATAGTTTCTTAACATGTTCGTTAAAAAAAGAAAAGAAAAAGCGAGAAAAAAATAATTTCACTGAAATCTAAAAGGAAACAATTGTTTTTGTTTGTACTTTTTATCTCCTTTCACCCGATCTGTATCGTTTTTTACTTACCCTCACAACCAGCCGACTTATTTAAAAAAAATATATATATATATATATATATATATATATATATATATATATATATATATATATATATATATATATATATAATCCAAGTGTCGCCCCCATAATCCAACTTTCCCGCCTGTCTTCTTTCTTCGAATTACTTTCTTTTGAAAAGAGAATAAAATAAAATGAAATAAGATAATGAAAATAAAAAAAAAGTCTTCTCCGCCTACAACGATGACCTACAAGATGGCCTCAAAAGTTTTCCTTTCTTTCTCTATCTTTTTTTCTTCATAACACTAACAGTAACAGTAACATCTTCCCTTTCTTTCTTTCGTTTTTCGTTTATATCTTTGCTTCAACATGTCCAAACTTTTCCTTCCGCTCCTCTTACTTACATTTGTATTTTCTTCCCATATTTTCTTTCTTTCTTAGCTTCGTCATCATCGACTCTTTCCTCCTTCTATATATTTCTTTCTTTTTCCTTTTTTCATATCTCTTAGCTTTAACATTTCCTTCCCTTTTCTCTTTCTTTCTTTCTATCTTTCTTTCTTTCTTTCAACATCTTTGCTACCCTTTACAATATATTTCTTTCTTAAGTTCTTTCTTTCTTTTCAATGCCCTTTCAGATACCTTTCTTTCTTTCTTTCTTTCTTTCTTTCTTTCTTCAACATCCTCTTCGCTACCCTTTCTGACATCTTTCTTACTTTCATTCTTTATTTCTTTCTTTCTTGCTGTCTGTCTTTCTTTACTTTTTCATCCTCTTCGCTGCCCTTTCAGATTCTTTCCTTCTTTTTTTAGTTCAACATCCTCTTCGTTGCCCTTTCCGTTATCTTTCTTTCTTTCTTTTAGTTCAACGTCCTCTTCGCTGCTCCTTCTGATTTCTTTTTTTCTTTCTTCCCTTCTTTCTTTCTTTCAACATCTTTGCTGCCCTTTCCAATATATTTCTTTCTTACGTTCTTTCTTTCTATTCAATGTCCTTTCAGATACCTTTCTTTCTTTCTTTCTTTCTTTCTTTCTTTCTTTCTTTACATTTTCATCCTCTTCGCTGCCCTTTCAGCTTCTTTCTTTCTTTCTTTTTTTAGTTCCACATCCTTTCGCTGCCCTTTCCGTTATCTTTCTTTCTTTCTTTTAGTTCAACGTCCTCTTCGCTGCTCCTTCTGATTTCTTTCTTTCTTTCTTTCTTTCTTTCTTCTTTCTTTCTTTCTTTCTTTCTTTCTTTCTTTCTTTCTTTCTTTCTTCTTTCTTTCTTTCTTTCTTTCTTTCTTTCTTTACAAATTTCTTAATCAAACATATAGTAATTATCAATGTATATTGTTTATTTATTTCCCATCTGATAAATTAACATAGGTTAATAAATTTATGAATAATCAGTTCCCTTAATCGTTTTAATAATCTGTATAAATAAAATATTTATCTGCATTTAGATAAAATTAGTTATCGGGCAGAATGAACCGTTTAATTAATCACTTCCTTTACTCCTACGTTTCTTAGATTGCAATCTTATTTGTTCAAACCTTTTATGTGAGGCACCCAGATACCTTTTTTCTATTAAATGATCGTCTTGCTTCAACTTGGTCTTGAAATAGTCTTTGTCGTCGCCGTCATTGTCGTTCTGTTACTAATCTTTTTTCTTCCGAGAGATTTTTCCATTTAACTGTTATATTAAACGCATAAGATATTGAGCAAAAAGCGATTTATATAATACCAGGTATAATCAAAGAATCAAAGTTAGCATTAATCGCCTATGGTTTAATGCTAAAGGGAACGGATTAATTAAACGGTTCATTGGCTTCTATTTAATTTTGAATTCTTTATCTTCGCTAGATTGAATCTCAATACATTGTTTCAAGACTTTTGTTTCATTCTAACCCAACATTAGCACTTTCTAACAATTGCTGCGGGTAGACTACTTATTAATGTTTGCTAAGCGTAGATCGTTAAATCCAGCAAAACAGATGTAAAAGAAGATTGTAATGCGCCAGTTGTCCAAATGATAAGAACTATTTTGTTTTATAAATCAACACAGGAGATTGTGTCTTTTCCCTGGGGTTAAATCACAGCTAACTGGCACAAAATAATGATATATGTCCCTAGGCATCTAAAGACCGAGGCTGTTTACTAAGCTTCGGTTAGTCGGACACAATGTATACACGTAAGGGAAACTCTTCAGTAAAGCGAACTTACCAAACGCTTTGTCTCCTTAAGCACCAATCACGACTTTATCAACATTAACTAATTCTTCTTGTTGAATGGGCCATGGCTCACCACAGTTTCCTTTCCCTTGTAGCCCTTAGTAGCATTTCTCCCTTAACCAAGCCTTCCACCCCACGTTCTGCTATCTGTTCATACTTCTCGTCAGGTAGGTGGTCCACTGAATTCCCGTATACTTCCTGCCCTCGATATGCCCTGTGAGTGTTAAGTTTTCCAAACCCTCCTTCCTTAATATGTGGCCAAGAAATTTCAGCTATTCTTTTGTGACTGTTTTTTTTTTACCTTTTTTCTTTAAGACTTACTCGTTGTTTATTAGCTCTGTTCATGGGATTCTCAGTATCCTTCTGTAGTACCACATTTCTGTTGCCTCCAGTTTAAGCTTCATCTGACAACCATAATTTCTGTCTTCTTACAGTTGACGTCAAAAAAAGAATCATTGTGTAGTAATATTATGGAGAAGGTTGGAGAGTCGAACGGTTGAATCATCATAATAAAACTACAAAAAAGATGAAACTTATCTAATAATAATAATAATAGATGCTACATAGAATACTTAGAAAAAGGCGAGATGCAACGTTTTTTCTTTCTATGCGTCGTGTCCTTTCAAGACGTAGGCGATCATGGCTCTCCACCTCCTTCTATCCCTTGCAGCTCTCAAGAAGTTCCTTCTCACTGCCACCTCCCCAGACCACGTTCTGTTATCCACTCAAGGCCGCTAGGTATGTCACGTGTTGTTTTCCCTTCTCTCTTTCCCTCTATTCGACCCGTGAGTATCAGATTCTCCAGGCCATCCTTCCTCATTATGTGTCCCAGAAAACTTCAGCTGACTCTTTCTAATGTTAAGTATAAGCCTTCTACTTGTTTGTAACCTAAGTCCTCGTCGTTGCTCAAATGTTCGGCCCATGATATCCTTAGCATCCTTCTGTAGTACCATATCCCCGTCGCCTCGAGTCTCTTCTTCATCTTTGAAGAAATCGTCCAACATTTGCTGCCGTAAAGCTTACATGGTCATAAAGCAAACGTTCTAAACACACATCCACTTCAGCTCCCTCTTCCTGATGTTAAGTATAAGCCACGTCCTTGTTTGCATTCTCTCTAAGACCTCATCGTTGCTCACACGCTCGGTCCCTGATGTGATGTAATTATGAAGAAAAAGATCCGAAAAGAATATTATAGGAGAGTGCGTTTAATATTAGGAAGCGAAATTAATGGAGCAAATAAAATGAAGGCTATCAATACCTCAGCGATACCCGTAGCTTTAACATTATTAAATGAAAGTTGAATGGCATTAAAAGATAGAGCGCCAAGACCAGAAAAATGCTTACCCAAATGAGGATGCACCACCCGAAATCAGATGTTGATACGTACCGAGAGCTTTAGGAGGCCGAGGTCTAATCCAACTTGAACTAACTCTAAAAACTACAACAATCGGATTGGAAGCATACCTTACAAAATCCAATGAGCCTCTCCTACAAAGAGTAAAACACCAAATCCACTCCATCAAGAAAGTAGCTGCACTCTTCAAGAAACAGCTTAATATTAATGAAACCATACCAACAAAAAACGAAGTGAATACCATCTACTGCAAACGAGGAAAACAAAAAGCTGAACAACATGGCCAAATAAAATTACAAAAAAGATAACCTGAGACGACAAGGCGTTGCCTTTAAAAGAACGAAAGAAGCAGAAAACACATCAGTGGCTGAGGAGCACCGGATTGAATGCTGAGACAGAAGGCCTAATTATGGCAGCTGAGGACCAAAGCTTCGCAACCAGATCCTATCAATGTCACATAATCAAGGATGGAACTAACCCGAGACGCAAGATCTGCGGAAAATATGATGAAACTGTCCACTATATTATCTCAGGATGACTGGAACTGGCAAAAAATGAATATACACACAGACATAACAAGGTAGCGACATATGTGCACTGGAAGACATACAAGGAGCACAAAATCGAAACCACTGAGAGATGGTATGACAACCAACCAGACACAGTTACATAAAATAACGACGTAACTCTGCGATGTAGAAAATCAAACTGATGGGGAAATAAAAGACAACAGACATGATATTATCATAAAAGACAAGAAATTCAGGAAATGTATGCTTACTAACATTGCAGTGTCATTTGAGAGGAACACCTCTATGAAAATTACCTAGACATTGTCCAAATGCAAAGACCTGGAAATCGAAATTAACAGGATGTGTGGAATGAAGACTGAGACTGTACCAGTAGTAATCGGAGCACTGGGCCTCGTGAGAAAAGGAATGGACAATTGTACTAACAGTGTCCCAGGTAA